CACACACACACACACACACACACACACACACACACACACACACACACGCAGGTGAGACACCAATGCAAAGGAATTAAAATAAAATGAGAAAAGAAACACCTCAGCCAGCAGCCTGGTACCTGGAAGCTGGTGTCTGTCCCATGATGCTGCAGGAGCCAGAAGGTGATGGCACTTGTGCCCACACAGATGAGCTCATTGGCATCCCAGGGATTAAAGGCCACACCATGCACAGGCTCTGGGAAGCGAGTGGATGACAGCAGTTCATAGGTGGTCATGCTCCACAGGGCGAGGGTGCGGTCAGCATAGTCCCCTGGAGACACATTAACACGGATGTCAGGCACAGTCCAGCCACTAGGGCTCCTCAGAGGTCTGCCCTCCCTCTGCCCACCCAAGCCTACCTACCTAGTGTTACAAGGAACTCATCGTCTGGGGAAAAGGCCAGTGCTTGTACAGCTGTGTCATGATGGGAAAGGAGGTGCCGACAGAGGCCCTTGGGAACATCCCAAATTCGGATCTGACAGTGGGCAGCTGTGTTGCCACAGCAGGAGGCAGAGGCCAGGACCTGCAGGCAGGAGGTGAGTAATCAGTGGAGGCAGTTCTGTATGCCTGCCCTTGCTGAATGGAGGGTAGGCTGAGCTGTGTCCTTCATGCTGAGCAGCCTACCTGTGTGGTTTGGGGGTGTGCCATGCACAGCTCTAATTTACACTGTGCCCCTGGACATGGGCTAGGTATGTACCTGGCCATCCTCGCTGAGTGCCAGAGTAGAGATCTCCTGGGGATGGCCGCACCAGTGCCGCTGGGTGCCAGAATGCAGGTCCTCCACCACCACCAGGCGGCCACATGTGTAGGCAAAGAAGCCTGTTAGCAAGAAAGATGACAATATCCCCATCACTGCTGACAGGCCTCATGAGGCTTCAGCATGACAAGGGCATATGCCAGTGCCCTACACTCTAGAAGCTTCAAGGATATCCAGTGTCTGTTTGCTGTGGAGGACCCGCCCGAGAGGATGAGACTGAGCACAGTAGCCCTACCTGTGTTGGGCCTCCAAACCATGTTGGCCCGCCCGTTCCCATTGTAGCCTACAACGGCCTTCAGTCGCAGCTGCTCCCTGCCAACGGGAGGGAAGGAGACACTCTACGAGGAAGCAGAGCCAGGAAGCTGGTAACCAGCGTAGCTGGCCCCCAAAGCACACAGGCAGGCTGCTTGGAGATACATAGAGATGGTTAGGTAAGGAACCCGGGGTGTAAATGGGGAGCTAGGTGGGACCTGTGGGAGCCATAGGAACGAGGAGCTTGATGCTCCTGGAGTATAACGGGGTCAAGGAAGGGGAGCACTGGTGAGATGGAGGCAGGATGAGTACAACACCGGAAAGCTGAGAGTCTGCTACAGGATAGAGGATGTGTGTGAAAATGGAGTGAAAGCTACCCTGGGGCCCTGTTCACCAGAGAAGACTATTCTCAAAACCCCCTAGCTTGGTGTGCTGCCAACCTTGACCCGCGTGGAGGCCTTATAGCGAGCTGTGAAGTGCTTGTAGGAGTCTGGGCGGGTTGGGAGGCCAGCCTTTGCTCTCTGAAGGCTCCATTCACCTGACAGGAGAAAGAGGCCACAGGACACTGAACTCCTACTACCAGAGTTCCCTCCCTAGACACACAGACTCCCAACCCTGCTAAGCTGAGATCTGGTTCCCACCCATCACAGGTATATCAGGATCCCCAGAATACTGGAGGTGACCTCAACTCATCTTTCAGGAAAGATTACTACAAGCTGCCAAAATGGCCTGACAGAGGCCTCTGTCCCTGCCTGTGGCCACCTGCTTACTTGTTTGACTGTGGTGACAAGGAAGCACAGCAAGTGTCTGTGAGCCCTTTGCAGCCTCCCGAGGGCCATCTCCAGCTCCACTGGCCTCCTTCTCCACCAGCACAGGTGGGGTTGGGGCCTGGCCTTGGAGGAACACCTCAGAAACATGGTTCTCCTCACAGGGTCCTTCCTCATCCGATGTGGAAAAAGTGCCTAGGGTTAGGACCAACAAGATGAGGTCCTAAGGCAGACTTGATACATGCCTTTAATCCCAGTTCTTGGAAGGCACAGACAAGTAGATGTCTGTGAGTTTGAGGCCCTCCAGGTCTACATAGCAAGTCTTAGGACAGCCAGAGCTACACAGTGAGAGCCTGTCTTGAAAGAAAAAAAAAAAAAAAAAAAAAAGAAGAAGAAAAGGGAAAACAGCTACCTGGCCTAATACCACTCAGGATCAGCACCAAGGCACACTCTGTGACCCTGTATACCCAGGCCTGCCCAGGACCCCAACCCTTATCAGCACCTCCTTCCAGGGGCCTGTCATGGATACTCAGTGGGGGTGGTGATGCCTGAGATGGTAAGGGCACTTGCTGCCGAGGGAGTCCGCTGGCCCCAGATGCCAGGTCCTCCAGCTGTCCTACAGTAGAGCCTGGAGATAAAAAGACCATGTCAGGGTTGGGCATGTCAGACCTGCTAGGGAGGCAGACTCTATGGTGACAACAGACACATCAGGCATAGGAGAGGAGATGGTGCCGCTTGCCCAACATGGCCACCAACCCAGTGTCGGCTCCACACCAACTAACATTGCCATACCCTCCTCTTCCACCTAAGCCTGGGTCACTCACCCGCCTCATGGACTGGGGGGGTCCCAGGATCACTTTGGTCTCTGAGAACAAGAAAAGGTGTCAAGAGCCGGCCAGCAAAAGGTCCATGCAGACACGGCAAAGGGTAGACACTTGCCTCTCAGGGGTGGCCAGGACATCCCAGAGGAAGATGGCATCCCCCACGCTGAGGACCTGCTGCTGATCAGGGGTGAAGGCTACAACATGCACAGGCTCTGAGTGGCCAATGTATACCTAGGGGCAGCAAGCACCACATGTAGGGACCCAGAGCGTGTCCTGGATTCTGTGCTCCCAGTAGCTAGGTATCCCATGTAGCACTTGGCCTCAGCAGGCAGAGGGTTCTACACATCACCGTCTATCTTTCCAATCCCTGCCTTCCCTCCCTTGGTCTTCCAGAAGTCTCCTCAGCCATCTTCGGGGAGCCATAGACTCTGGCTGCCCACAGCACGTACCTGGCAGCTAGGACTCGCCTGCGTTGGATAATCCCACACTGTAATGGTCCGGCCAGTGGCTCCCAGCAGCAAACGAGCATCCTCACTAATAGCCAGGGAGGCGCAGGCTCTGGAGCGGACGCTAGATAACTGGAATGAAGCGTGCCCAAAGAGGCCCCTCTGTGGTGGAGCCATCGGCACTGGGGGGCAAGGCTGCAGGAGCAAAGAGGGATCAGCAGCCCACTGCCTGCAGACCCGTGACTCACCTCTTGGATAGTGTGTCCTGACACAGCATCCAGTACCACAACCTTATTAGAGGATGTGGACACCAGCAGATGGCCTGAGTTCCCGGGGCTGAAGCAGACGGCCACAGCCCAGTCCGGGTGGTTGCTGGCCAGGTGGAGAGTGCTGACATCAACATGTAGCAGCTGGGGGACAAGCGACCACTAACTTCCAACTCCAGGTTTAGTGGACACCACCCAGAGCTAGGGAGGGAACTGGCTTCAGGAGCGCCCACCTGGATACCCAGATATGACCCCCACAAAGGAAGCTGAGCCTCTGGTGCGCATGGTGAACCCGGGACCCTTAGCATCAAGGATAGGCCCAGGACTGCCCCTGAGCAGCTGCAGCCTCTTACCTAGTCCTGGACACTTTATACCTAGCCAAGCAGAACCCCTGACTGAGGAGGTCCCACACTCACCTCATTCAAGGAGTCTGACTCCACGACTGTCACCTTGCACTTGGACGGACCCACAAAGGCCAGCCGGCAACTGTCTCTGCTGACTGCCAGAGTATTGGGGTTGGGGTGGCCATCCTGACATACCATGTTGGCTATGGCAGCACAGGGCAGGGGGGTCAGCGGGTGTGACAGGAGACACTTAATCCCATCTCCCCTGCAGCATACACTGGCCCTCTACAGCTTCCACAGGGCTTGTACTTGAGCTCACCAGTTCTCACAGGCTGTGATCACCACGTGACCACTTGGCAGACAGAGGTCAAGGAGGACCACCAGAGGCATAGATGCCCTTTGAGTGGGTTTCTCCCAGTCGCTTTCCTGGTGCCCAGGCTGCCCACCTTCTGAAGCAGGATAGGCACAGACCCTTAGTGACCCTTGGTTTGTGAGGAAGGTTCAGAGACCCCTCCTTGGTGAAAGGTCTCAGGGAACAACACAGGCCCTGAGTGTGGAGGTGATGGCCTGGCCCTGGTTAGATTTAACCAGACATAAGCCTGGGACATCTGGGAAGAGGGAAGGAACTTCAATTGCGAAAATACCTCTATCAGACTGGCCTGTAAGCAAACCTGTTGGAGCATTTTCTTGGCTAATGAGTGACGTGGGAGAGCCCAGCCCATTTTGGCAGTACCATTTCTGGGCAGTGGTCCTGAGCTGTATAAGAAAGCAGGGCTGAGCAAGCCATGGGGATCAAGTCAGTAAGCAGTTATTCTTCTATGGCCTTTGCTGCAGCTCCTACCTTCAAGTTCCTGTCCTGACTTCCCCAGAAGATGAAATAAACCCTCTGCCTGTTCTCCCCCACTCCCAGTTGCCTTTGCTCATGGTCTTTATCACAGAATAGAGAGCCAACTGAGACAGACCTCCCCAGTGCCTTGGAACCGGTGTGAGTGGCTAGGAGCCTGACCTGCCACACGGAGGACGCAGCATCGGGCGACAGCACAGTTGTACTGGACTAGGGAGCCCTGAGAGCAGGAGCTGAACAGGAATCTGCCGTCAGGGGTGATGACCAGGCTGGTGATGGCCCCTCGGTGACGCCTGCATCACACATGGGACACTCACTGGCCTTGGCCCTGGGAGCCAAGATGGGGTTTGTGGTGGGACTGGCTTTCCTGCTAAGGGTCCTCCCCACTCGGGATCCCACAGGGCTCTCCAGCTCCTGCATTCACTGCTGGTGTCTGTGTGGCCTGGTCCCCTGGGCACTCACGTGTGTTCGACCAGGACTCCAGAGTTCTCCAGGCTGAAGGAGCGTACAGCCCCACTGCTGAAGCCACAGAAGAAGCTTGGCAATGTGGGGTGGAAAGCAACAGCAGAGGGGGTTTCATCAGAGGATGAGAAGTCATACAGCTGGAGGGAAGAGGCCACCATGAAGGGTGAGTAGGATCCAAGAGAATCCAAGGGACAAGAGTAGCCCATGTGATTTTAACACGAAGTTCCAGAGACTGGGCTGGAAGGACCAAATTCCCTGTGGGTCCCCCTGCCCACAGCCTTTTGCCACTCCCTACCTGCTGTAGGGTAGCCAGGTCCCAGATGCGGACAGTGTGGTCAAGGGACACAGTGGCCATCTGTCCCCGGTTCTGCTCTGTAGAAAGCGCCAGCACTGGGGCCATGTGGGAGCGTGCCAATACAGTATACTCCCGGGAGGGCATGTCCAGGAAGCCCAGGTGGCCTGAGGTGGTGGTGGACAGTACACGAAGACCGTCGGGGCTGAAGGAGACTGAACTGACAGGGCCATCGTGTTCTGTGGGAAGGGTCAACAGCGTCTGGGGTCTAGAAAGCTTCAGAGCTGACTACAGGAAAGTTTATACCACACTATGCGGGCTCTGGGATCCCCAAGACACAGACAACCTGTTTCATTGCTGCCAAGGCCTCCAGGGTTTTGAGAGTATCATGCCCACCAGCCACTGCCTTCAAATCCCCTGTGAAACCAGCCTGCAGGTGTCACTGGTATTGATAGGCAGCCAGGCTCAGGGTAGGCCCTCATCCCACAACTCACTGTCCAGCCCAAGAATAGTGCCACCAAAACCAGAGCCAGAGAACCCCCAACCTCCTTGGCAGGGCCGGTTCTCCCCAAGCTATGGTAGACAGACGTCTGCCATCTTACCGGCCTCTAGAAGCACTGAGGAAAAGTCCAGGGGCCAGAGGCGCAGGTAGCCATCCTCAGAGCCCACAGCACATGTGGTAGTAGAGACACCGAGGCTGCTGATAGCGATGCCGGACCCTGAAAGGGGCAGGCATCAGTACCTCAATATGATGGCACTTCTGCCAGGGATGGGTGCAGACCTACCCATGCTGAAGCTCTGTTTCTCGGTGAGAGGAACACCAGAGGGCCGAGTGGGCAGCAAGCGGCGGACGTGCTGCACCGTCATGCGCCGGTGGTCGATCTCCAGGATGTGACCACTATGGCTACACACGAAGCTGTCGAAGGGAGGCAACAGGTGAGGCAAGGTAAAGGGTGGGCTGGGTAAGCACAAAGGCAGGGACTCACAGCATGCCGGCCAAGGGTCTCCAGTGGCCATCCAGGGTCTGTGCAAAGGCGAGGTCAGTGAGCTCCAGCGGACAGTACTCCCCTAGGTCCACAGCACAGGAGCGCAGGACGCCGCCCCGCAGCCGCCACAGCCGCACACTGCCCCGACCGCATGATGCCATCCTGCAGGTATGGCGGAGTAAGCAATGTGGAGGAGAGGGGCTCAAGGCCCAAACCCTGTCCCAGGAGCATAGAGCCACATCACCTGGTTTCATCAAAAAGGGCAATCCGGAAGGCCTGAATGTCGAAGTCAGTGTGCACCTTTGCAAGAACCACCACCTCACCACCAAGGCCCACCTTGTCTGTGCTCCAGGCCACCACCACCTGGAACAAACCCAGAATGAACCCCAGGTGCACAATCAAGCCCAGTGAGGTCTCTTCCCGGCCCTGCCCTGACTTGTAAGGACTAGCTGGGACCCCAGGCCCTGAGCATCAAGTCTGCAGAGTATAGCAGTCTATAGACAGAAAAAACCTGACTGAGGCTGGGGCGTATCTCGACAGGGCACTTGCCTAACATGTGGGGCCTTAGACTGGATCCCCAGCATTCAGGGGAAAATAGCCAGAGGCAGCCCACATTGAAACACTGGGTCTCTTAAGAACAGCTAAATGTCCACTACTCTGACAACACTGAATATTTAAGTACAGATTTAGAGTCTGCAGCCTCGGCTTGCCATGTAGACCAGACTGCCTAGAGAACTGTGCACCTGCCCTTGCCCCAGTCCTCTCCCATTGCTAGGGCTAAAGGAAGGTGCCATCACCAGACAGTGGTTGCACACACCTTTAAACCCAGCACTTCGGAGGCAGATCCCTGTGAATTCAAGGCCTGTCAAGTCCACAGCTCAGAACAGCCAGGCTACACAGCCATACCTCTTGTGGGTAGAGGTATGGGTAGGGGACACAAAAGAATGTGACACCAATACCCAGCCCACCTCGATTCTCTTTTTAAAAATTTTTTTTGTATTATTTATTACTATTTATACAGTATTCTCCCTGCAGGTATGTCTGCACACCAGAAGAGATACCAGATCTCATTCTAGATGGTTATGAGCCACCATGTGGTTGCTGGGAATTGAACTCAGGACCTTTGGGAGAACAGCCAGTGCTCTTAACCTCTGAGCCATCTCTCCAGCCCCATTTTGTTTGTTTGTTTGTTTGGTTTGGTTTTTAAATAAATATTAGTGTTTGCCTAAATGTATGTCTATGTGCTGTATATGCAGTGTTCAGAGGCCAGAAGAAGGCACCAGATCTCCTGGGACTGGAGTTGTAAGCCTCCATGTAGATGTCTGGTATTGGACTGGGGGATGGGGGCTAGGGAGTGGAGTGGGGGTGCCTCTGGAAAAACAGCCAGTGCTCTTACCCAGTGAGTCATCTCTCTAGCCCCATCTTAAATAGAGACATACCTACTACCTTAATAAGCAGAAATAAACAAAGACAAGAGTTTTAGAAAACAAAGGCCAAGCTGAGTGATGGTGGTGCACACATTTAATCCCAGCACTTAGGAGGCAGAGCTCTATGAGTTCCAGGCCAGCCTGGTCTACAGAGAGAATTCCAGAACAGCCAAGGCTACACTGCAAACCCTGTTTCAAAAGACGTTGGTCTTTTGAACAACACTGACAACACTGACAGTTGAATACAAAACAAACAATCCAATATCAAACAACCAAAACAAAACAAAAAAAAACACAGAAAAAAAGGCTGGCTGGAGCTCACTACCCAAGTGCCAGGGCCCCGCCTCCTGCATCAGGTTTGTTGACACATTACCGTCCTCCCATGTCGGTCCTTGCCCACACCGCAGAGGAACGCCCCACTCCTGGAGAAGCTGTAGATGCGGAAGACAAGGTCAGCAGTTTCTTGGCACCTCCCACTCCACTGCTGCCCTGCCCCAAGACTACCGCACCTGAGGGAGCAGATGGTATGCAGCGGGCTTCTGAAGATGGACAGGCATCCCCCAGTCTGGAAGTCCCAGAGACGCACCATGCTGGGAGGCTGCACCTGGGCTGATGCTAGCAGTACATCGTTCCCATCAAGAGCCAGTGCAGAGACCTGGACAAGTAAAATGAAGAGGAAGGGTATGTGCCCTGCAGGTTCACCACTCCCTGCCCAGGCCCAAGAGGCACATACCTTGTCTGTGTGACCAAGGAAAAATCTTTGCTGGCCGGTATCAATCTGCAGGACGATGATGACTGCATGGCAGGGGTAAACAACAGCCATACCATCTTTGGTCCACAGGGCCTAGTGCATGGGGGCCGGGACCAAAGTCACCCACAGAAATCCAATCAGGTCCCTCTTGGCTGCCCAGAAGGGGAGATTGGTGTGCGTGTGTGCCTGTGGCTACCCAGAGATGATACATCTGTTCCCCATCACTGGCGTATGTGGAGAAGACCACTAAAGCCCCCTTCAACTTTTGACTGGAAATCTGTTTGCTTGTTTTTTGTTTTTGTTTTTCTTTTCGAGACAGGGTTTCTTTGTAGCCTTGGCTGGCTTGGACTCACTCTGTAGACCAGGCTGGCCTTGATCTCACAGAGATCCACCTGCCTCTGCCTCCCAGAGTGCTGGGATTACAGGCATGTGCCACCACAACCAGCAAGACTGGCAATCTTGCTAGCAAGAGATCAAAGACTCAGAGGCAAAGACCAGAAGTGCCTGGTGAATGCCTAGGAAGGAAGGAAACACACCACTCCTTGCTAACTGAGGCTTTCCCTAGAAGTCCACTGTATATCCTGGAGCCAATATCGCAGGTCACACCCAAATCCAACAGATCTGCTCTGGATCAGAGACCCACACTCATAGAAGGTCTAAAGATATAATGGGGCTAGAGAGATGGCTCAGCAGTAAAGATGGTTTACTATTCTTGCAGAGAACTCAAGTTGTGTTCCAAGCACCCACATGGTGGCTCACAACTGCCTATAACTCCTGTTCAGAGGATCTGATGCCCCTTTCTGATCTCTGTGAGCTTCTGCACAAACATAGTAAACACACACACACAAATCAATATGGCACTGGAAATGGTTCTGCTGTCTAAAGCATTTGTTCCTTTTAGAGAGGGCCTGCGTTTGGTTCCCAGTAGCTAATAACTATCTGTATAACTCTAGTTCCAGGAGATCCAGTGCCCTCTTCTGACCTCCCCAGCATCCAGCACCCTCACAAGACACATACATACATGCAAACTAAACACTCATACACACAAAATAAGCTTTAAAAATTAAAAAAAAAAAAAAAAAAGTCAGGTGCAGTGGTGCACACCTGTAATCCCTGCACTCAGGGAGGCAGATTTCTGTGAGTTCAAGGCCAGCCTGCCTGGTCTACAAAGTGAGTCCAAGCCAGCCAAGGCTACACAAAGAAACCCTGTCTCAAAAACCAAATAAATACATAAAATTTATATAGATATAAAACTCAGAGCTCTTGGATCTTTGGGAGCCCTTTATAACATCCAGACCTTGTCAGGTGAACAGGGGACACCCATGACCTGAGAGACTCACACTTCCCCACAGGATGGGCAGACGTGGGCAGGGCAGTGCTACTTGAGTACCATAGGAAAAAAAACTGTCCGAGGTAGGACTAGAAATCTTTCCTTTCCAAAAACTCACTCATGCCACCCAATGAAAACTGGCCTGGAAACTGCCTCGAAACCTCACCCATTGGGTGCTGTGACCCCCAAAGCCGATGACTCCCCTGAGCCTCAGGACTGGGTCTGGGAGGAACAGCTGAAACAGGAAAATGCAAAATGAGATTTGAGAAAGTCACTTCCGTCCCCTGCAAAAGCCCCTACCCATGCTGCCTCTCAGGAAAAAAAAAGCCTAGAGTACAAGGGGGAGCGCCTGTTAGCAGTAATCTTCTGGCTGAGTGGTAAAGCCTCCAGAAACCCCAGGTCCTGCCCTTTGACCGACTATCTGGGGTGACCTTTAGAGATGGCAAGAGGAACAAATCCATCGTTATTCATCAACAAGGTCTCTTGCTCAATGCAGGGAGGACGAGAATGCATCTCAGGGGGCTCAGTCTGGTCAGCCCATCATTTCGCTAATGCCCAAATGCCTTCAGACGGGCACTCACCTTACAGGAGCGAATAGCCTCAAGGGCCATGGGCACTCCAGGTGGTTTGTCAGCAAGAACATGCCTATCACTGACCACCGTGTGTGCATCAGTAACCTCATTCCAGGCTGAAGGACGCTGGCCACGGATTCTGGCGGCACCTCCACTGGAGACTTCTGGATCCTTGTAGGTCAGACTGACCTCTGGAGGGATTCTGGGTGCTGAGGGGACCTGGCACGGCTGTGGTGGAACATGTGCCATCAGCACCCTAGGGCCACCATTCCCCAGCCCTCTCCCAAGTGCACTCACCAATGGAAGACTAGGAATCTGGCCCTCAGGGGACCTACTGCTCAGCAAAGGTTTGCCAGAGACCACCGGATGAGGCAGGCGCCGTGACACATGCCCTAAGAAGACTACAACAGAGCAAAGCGCCAGAGTGGAGCAGCAAGAGGCCTGGGAGAATGCCAGCAAAGGTACAGAGAGGAGCGGGTGGCTCCCTTCGCCCAGTCTATAGATGCTACATCACAAACTCTGCCATCATTCTACCCAGACACTGGCTGCTCCTTTCCCAACAAGGAAGCTTGGGGATCGGATGCCACTTGCACAGACCTTAAATGTGATTCTAGATGCTCAGATGACCACTAGCTAAGCCCTTCTCTGTTCTTGCCTCCAGGCTGCCCCAGGCACATACCAGCTCCACTCTACTGAACCCCTCCTCAGGATCCCCTGCTACTGTTCCCACCAAGCCCTATGAACCTGTAGAGCCACAGCCCACCTGCCTCTGGAAGGGAACAGTTCTTCTCAACCGGCTCCTCAGGCACTTTTGAGTCGTCTCTTGGAAACCTCATTGGTGGCAAACATAGGCAGAAGCAAAATCAGTCTCTGGGGACTGAAGGCCAGCTGGCCCCTCACCACCTGAGGTCCAGAGCTGCTCACCGAACGTGGATGTAATGGTCATGCCAGCTTTCCCCTTTTGGCACTGGGAAGGCCATTTCTCGAGGCACAGGGTTGACAGATAACTTTGCACGACGGGCCTCAGCGACAGTGACAGCTACAATGACGAGGGTTGCTCCAGATGAAGGGAAGTTTGTCCTATCCCTTCCCATCCCAGGTAAGATGCAACACCAGGTATCTGTCAGTCCTCCAGCCCACCCCCAACGCTTTTTCTAGAATTGGGAGCCCTGGTGCATGGCTCTCATCTGCCAGCGGGAGGGTTCCAGCCTTCTGATTGGGATGGGGCATGAAGTGCGGGCCTCACCAGGGTCAAAGCACAGATCACTGGTGTAGAGATTTCTGACTAGCAGGCTGGCGCACAGCCTGATGCTCTTGAGGTGGCCATAGCGCCGGCTCAAGTAGAACATAAGGATGTCATGCAGGTCCAGCTGCAGGCAGGTCCATCGGACACTAGGAGGAACCACACCTGCCAGGTCTGCAGGACAGGTGCCAGGTCAGCCCCTACCATTTTGTTTTCCCATTTTTCACAGTCCCAGCCCCCAGCCGTCCTCAGGGCCACACATAAGCACGAGCCCAGTTGGGCCTGTACCATCCCGTCCTAGGCCTTCATTCAAGCTGTCCCCCCTGGACCAGGTGTCACCACCTCTCCTGGGTGTCTTAGTCTCGAAGACAAAGGGAAACTGAAGCCATGTTGCGGAGGACTTGAACTTCTTAAAGAGGTTGGAGAAAGACACACGGATGACCTGGCCGTCCTATGAGGCAGAGCGAGGCCATTAGATGGAGATTACCAGGAATAAGCAGCAACAGACACACAGCCCTCCTTCCAAGGTCAGTACCTCGGTGGACACATCCAGGTGGATGACAAAATGCTTGGTAGGCAGAGGCCGGAAAAGCACATACAGGTACCTCCCAGTCAGCCCCAGAGACTGGGTGCTAGTTCTGGGGAGCTGGATGTAGTTGCTAGCAGATACAGACCCACGGATGCGATACACGGAGCTCTTCAGGACCTTGTCCTAGAAAGAGAGAGGAGCTGCGAACAGGGCAAAGCTGGAGGGTGGGCACAGTGCCCACGGGGAGATTTCTCAGGAGCAGGAAGGACCTCCTCCGGCCAGTACCGTCACCACGGCCACATCTCCCTCTTTGCTGGACCGTTTCCACTCATCCACCCTGAAGTGTCTGAATACGTTGAGGAAAGGGTGCTGCCAAGCTGCAGATGGGACGGCGCCTGAGCACCGGTCTTGGGCAGCGCGCCGCGACCCTTCGCCTTCGCTCGCGGGACAGGCTTCGGCGCGAGGTGCAGTCAGTGACGCACGGCGGACCTCGGACCCGGGACTCCCGGGACTCCCGGGACGCGAGACCTGACGACAGCGCGCGCCGCTACCTCCGGCCATGGCGCTACAGCTCGCACTTCCCGCCTCAGCTGACGCCTTCCTACGCAAGACACGCAGCGCAGCGCCTAGCAACAGCCGCTTGGCAACGTCGCGTCACTTCCGTCGCCGCTGCGGCGACGCACAGAACCCCTGTGGCCGCATAGCACCCAGTCACCAAGCAGACAACCCCCAGTCCCTGCCACCCACCCACACACACACACTCCATCCCCGCCTCTTGCATGTCCCCAGGCCTCTCTTGGCCGACCCAGGCCACTTCCACCGCTGTCGCCTCCTGCACAGGCTTCGGCGGCCACGCCCAGCCCGGACCTCCGCAGACAGTGCGGCGGCCTAACCAGCAGTGCTGAGTGGGCGTGGTCGCTGACACTCTCCCAGACCTCCGATTTTGAGGGCTGAACCTTTTTTTTTCTGGGACACTTGTTCACATTCCACGGTCCACCCAGGGTGGGCCTCATCTTTGCTTTCTAACCGTGTGGAGGCATCTGTTCAGCACCCAGATACTCTGGGTCCCTCTACTTCAGGAGAACAAGAGCCCTGCTCCCAAATAAATACAGTCACCACAGGTTCACCACATACCCAAAGACCCTGGAGTGTAGGACCTGCAGTTTAGGGCTAGGATCTCATTCCAGTTAAGTCCTGGTGTAAAGAATGGACTCTGAATGGAGATGTACCTACCCCAGGCTCTTCCTTAAGGGTTAATCCTGTCTCAGACCTGGCTAGTGAACCAGCCCTAGCGGTTAGGGTTCACCTTCAGATAAAGTGCTCTTTTCTTTTCGGAATTCCTGTCTCCCAGTGTAGACCAGGCTGTTCTTTGAACCTCACAGCCTCAGCCTCTACAGTTCAGGGATTAAAAGCTGGGCTGCTAAGGCCGCTATGCTCTTCAGATGGCTGCTGCCACAAGGCTCACGTTATCTGCCTTATCTGTAAAGGCAAGGCTTTCGTTCCTCCTTCCCTCCAGGGAGGTTAGAGATTTACAGCTTGCCTGCCCTGAGGTTTTTCTTTCAAAGTCTAATAAATTCTCAAACTTCTATTTGAGTCTGTTTTGTTGTTCTTAATCTTGTTGTGCCTTGAGACAGAGCATCTGTGTGTGGTCCTGACTGTCCTGGAGGTCACTATGTGGGACCAGGCTGGCCTTGAACTCACAGAGATCCTCCTGTCTAGCCTCTTAAATTCTTATATTAATGAAACTGAGAACCCCAAGAGGGGACCTTGATTTTTCAGGTATCACGATGATTTCTGCCTTTTAATTCTTTAATTGGCAGAGACAACAAACCCATTCCTACACACCTAGCTGTCATCGCTTGGGTGGGTCTTGGGGTCTGTCTTTGGTGTCAATTGCCAAGATGAAGAGGTAGGGGAGACAGATGGGACAGCTTGGGTCTACATACTTCAAATTGAGCTGATCAAGGGCTCCCATCACGCTGGTTAACCCAGCATGATGGGGCAAGCCTTTAATCCCAGTACTCTGTCAGTTCTAGGAGAGCCACCTGTCTCAAAAGTAAATACAAAGGAGAGCTTGGCAGAGCTGTAACTCCCACTAGCCCAAGAGTAAAGAGAGGATGTGGCTACAAATGCTGCAACCCAACCTCTAATCCCAGCTACTGGAGAGACAGGAGGATCATAGGCTTCAGGCTGGTAGCAAGTGTCTTTAATCCCAGGATTTAGGAGGCAGAGGCAGGCAGGTCTCTGTGCACTCAAGGTTAGCCTAGTCTCTACACCGGCAAACATCAGGTTAGCCAAGATTACACACTGGGACCTTGTTGCAAAAGCAGAGGAGGAAGAAGTAATAGTAAACAGAAGGCCGGAGAGGTAGGTCGGTAGTAGAACATATACCTAGCATGCACGAGGCTATGAATCCAGCCAATTCCGAGGATCACAAAGGGTTCAGGGGAGGCTACGAGAGTCTGAGGCTGAGACTAGGAGTGGACACATGGACACACACACATCCCCCAGGGCTCTTCAATCATTGATACTTGAAAGGGCAGTTTCTCAACTTTATTAGCCTGGACTCCTCCCTGCCAGTCCCAGGGGCTGGTCCCTGGGCACAGTGAGCAGGACTGAGGTTAGACAGGTTTTGGCCCCTGGCTCTGGCAGCTTAGGATGGCCAAGCCAAGGGAACAATAGGTGCAAAAGTCCAAACGTTGGCACTTCAGGTGTGGCCGGTACCCAGTCAGGCCACGAGGTGGACCGGCGCACTGTGGTCCTCTTCTGGCAAAGGGTCCGCTATGGCAGCATTCCTTCCTGGACAGCTGTTAGGAACAGTTGGTGATTCTAGCCAGGAACTGCTGTGCCCACCACTCATCCAGGTCAATAGGTACAAAGTCTGTGGGTAGAATAAATTCTGGCCAGTGATGCTGTTTTCCAACCTGGCCAGTCCCTCTGCCCTCTAGCCCACCACAGCCCTTAACCTAGATTCTAAGCACAGCACTCAATGGAAAATGGGGGGGGGGGGGCACAGTCCAAGTCCTCCTTCCCCAAAACACCTGGGGCTAGAACCTAGCCAAGGTCAGGGGATTTGGCGGGGGTGGGGGGTAGGGGGAGGATACAGGGCATGGGGGAAGGCTCACTCTGCAGCCGGGGATCAGGAGTGCTCTCCACATATTGCACAGGCCGTGGGCCACTCTCATCGGCAGGGCCGCCATCCAGCTGTCGCTCTACTTGCTGCCAAGCTGTGGGGAAAGTACGGTTAGAATGAACCAGGCCCCCAATATCCCTCCCACCCCAGAGCCTGGTGGCCACCATGGACTCCAGCCTAGCTCAAGGAATGCACATGACCAGGCAGAGAGCCAAGGAAAAGTCAAGCCCTTGGGCTGCTATGAGTCAGGCTATAGTGGGGAAGGACAGGCAGAGCCAGGTCCACGCTACTGGGATTCTGTGGCCTGAGCCACACCCCCTGGTCCCTTACTACCTTCGGACACAAATCGGACGTTCTCCTCGTGGGCCAATGTGTAGGTCTCTTGGGTCCCCTCGAGGGATGGGGAGGTGGTGAGGGGCCGCCGGCCGTTCACTCGATTGAACACAAGCCTGGGCCCCGGACTGTGGGAGGGTAGGAGACAGATACAGTTGGCACCAGCCAGGTCCAGGAGCTACTATGCAGGGTTCAAGAGCAGCCTACGTACAAACCCACCGCGCCTGCGCGGGCACAGGCCCACACTATGCCCTTCCTTAACCACAGAGCAGCTGCCCTTAGCTGCTACGGGATAAGGCCTCTGTGCTGCAGACCCCAAGCTTACTGCAGGTTAGCTCATACCTGTAGCTCTGGGCCCAGGGAAATCAGAAGGAGCCCGGCTTTGCATCCAGACCTTTGGCAGGGCCCCACAGAGTACCCCTCCGCACTCCCAACTCCCGACCAGGCAGGCTTCCAGCAGCCTGCTTCCAGACCTCAGCGTGATCAGAACTCTATCCCCTCCCCACTCATCAGGTACAAATGCCCCCTCCTTCTAGAGGCCCCACAGGTCCCAGTCACCTCAATGACAACCCCACTGTTGGAAAACAAACCAAACAAGGATGGATCAGTGTTTACCCTTCCCTCTCCCTGGCTGGCCCCAGGCCCCAGGGAGATGAGCAGACAATGCCGGGGAGGGTAGTCTCAGAGTGGGAAGAACATGACCTTAAGCCTAGCCCACTCCCCAAGGCAAGAGAAAAGGGGCAACTTGAGTGAAATGCCCCCCCATAGCCCTGTGCTCTACTCTATATTCAGGGGTGAGGGGCGGCCAAGCCCCTCCCAGCCAAGCAGGCCCAGGGCAGGGCAGGAATGTGCCCTCCCAGTTGGCTGGCTGGAGGTCAACTGGCCAAGCCCTGTGCTCAAGAAGCCTGGGGTGGGGCCATGGAGGGAATGGGGCTGCACCTACAGTAGGAGGTGGGAGCCGGAGTCCTGGGCTGCACCTGCCACTCCGCCAGGCACTCGCGGTCCCGGCAGGCCTGCTCGCCTTCCTGGGCTCAGGTGCCCCACGCCGCTCTGGGTTCCTCCTCAGGTGAGAGGGGCACTAAAATAAAGAGGAGGGTCTTGAGGGGCACAGGGTCCTGCCAGCCCCGGGGCTGGCAGGGTCTGGTGGCTACAGAAAATCTTAGATGTGCAGGTGGGGACCATAGAAGGCAGGTCTCCTGCCAGGCCCACCGGGTACCTGAGTTTTTGGTGAACCAGAGGGCATGAAGGCATTCTTAATGGAAATCCCCCCTTGCCTGCAACCACCTGCACCCCAAAAGGATTCAAACTCCATGAAAGCATGAAGGTTGGACATTGATATGGATGTTTCTGTTTTGTTGAGGCAGGGTCTAGACTCAGAAATCTTCCCAAGTACCAGGATGTAGGTTAGGTGTGTGCTACCCCACCTACCTGTGGCTTATACTGATTCTTAAAAAAAAAAAAAAAAGGAAATCCCAGCCAGGGACTGTGAATAGTAATGGATCAAGGTAGCGGCTTTGGAGCTGGAAAGGGGCCCCTGAGGGCAAGGGCTGCACACCCATAAGCCCTGCCCCACCCCTGCTTGGAGGCCATGCTTATGTAAGACCAGGCTCTGTAGGGGAAAGGGCACTAGTCCCAGAGTGCACCTGTACCCACTCCTAGGGACACAGCCTGCAGTACCAGGCTGCAGTGGCCCACAGACCTCCTCTCATTGACTGTCCTACCCCCTTCAGGTGACTGCTCACCCAGCTTTCAGCCTGGGAAAAGAAACTCCCTGCCTGTGTTACACAGTGACAGGAAGCAAGATCCAAAGTCAGACTTTCAAGATTTAGCACTATTCTGACCCCAGGGCTCACAACTTCAACTTAGCCCCAATTCTCTTGTGACCAGTGGTCCCTAAATGGCTCCCCCCCCATCTGTGGGACATGTGATCACATGAGCTCATTCATCATCACCGGCGCCACCCACACTCCACTGTGTAGTGGGTTGAAAGCTTTGAGATTTTGCCCCATGCTGGCAGGAGGATGACCTATGCCTCTGGTGTTCCTTCCTCCTAGAGCTGGTTGGAGAGATGGTAGCTGGGGAAAGGCTCCAGGGAAGACAAGACAGGGAAGTTGGTGGCCATGGGTGATTTTGAAGACACGGGGCTAAATGTGGAATTCCATGTGGAGGCCCTGTAGGAATTCCCAGTCCGGGGACCAGGAAGGGGTAACGATTCAGCAACCTCAGAGCAATCAGGGAAGACACCTGGCCCTATCTCTTCAGGCCTCAGGGCCCAGAAGGGCAGAGTTAATCTGTTTCAGGAGTTGCTCTACCTGGCTGCTAAAGGATGACTCAGGCCTTCACATCAGCTTTGCTTACTGAAGCCTGCTTAGAGTGGATATGCAGTGTGGTGTTTCTTGCAACTTAGGGCTCTGGAGAATGTCACTGCCTTGTCCTCCTCATAGATACTAACCCCAATATTGCCACAAACCTGTCCTTGCTGACCCCCAACAATGCGGACTTAAGAAGGTGGTTTCCCAGGTAAGAGATGGGCTGGTCCCCAAGGCTACTCCAGCTCCAGGCTCCCTATCTTGGTGACCACTTTGTATTTACACACCTGTACCTTCCTAGAGACATAACAGCAATGAGGACATAAACTGATGTCACCAGGATGGCCCCTTAGGCCCTCCTTATTCAGTCCCCAGGACAGAGCTCTGAATGAGAACTTATATCCACAGTGGAATACAGTTGCCAACAGGCCTCCCTGGCAGGAACTCCCCTACTCTACCAGAATATCAAACACAGTCCCTATAGGTGTCTCCCAGCTCTGGCATCTGAAGCCCAGTAGCTGAGTGATAAGAGGCATAGACCCAGCTACGCCAACTCTCCAGATGAAAATCCTTACAGATTTTCTGTCCTCAACTTGTGCTCCCCCTGAGGGCCTAGAGTCCTTAAACCCGCTCACATGTCACCCCTACCAGAGTCTTGAGCCCAAGAGCCTACACACCTGCAGAGAGCAGGAACAGCGTCTACCGACAAGGGAAACAGTAAATTGAGCCAAAGAAGTAAAAGGTTTAGCCCTGAAGGAGTGGGATCACTTCCAGGTCACAGTGGCTGAAATCCAAAGTAGCTAGGGCTGAGCTTCCCTGGGGCCCTGGGCACTCTGCTAGGTCCCTTAGGACCTGGGCAACTGCGGGGTAGGAAGGCTCCCGTGCCTCCAGGGTGTCAGTGAAGGGCAGGGACCTGATAAGGCCAGCAGGGAACACGTGTGCGTCTTCTGCAAGGACAGGGCCTGAAGACCTTGAGGGCCAGGGCCTTGGGCAACTTTTCCCAACTTTGATCTCGACCGCTTCCCAAGGGGTCCAAGTTAGCGGCCCAAGGTCGACAGGACCCTTGGTCTTGGGTACCTGCAGTCCTTGACAGGGCCGGAGCGGTCGGAAGCCCGCAAGGCCCCACGTGGCCACCATCAGGGTCCACGCACACCAGCTGGGCCCAGAAGTAGCCAGCAAGCCGAAGCAAGCGCGAGCCGCCCGTGCCCCGCCCCCTGCCCGCCAGGACCCGTGGTCCCCATCAACCTTCTCCAAGGTCACCCTAGTGTCGGGCGGCCCCACTCACCTTGTAAGGGGCCAGGGTCCCTGGGGCTGCGCCGAGGACTGCTCGCGCGCGGGTAGCACGGTAGGAGGCGCGGGCTGCCGGCATTTCAGGAGCTCCCCAAGCCTGCTCTCCACCTGCTGCTGTGTGGGACCTGCGGGCCAGGGCGGAGGGCGCTGTTAGCCGTCGCGGGCCAGCGGTCGGGACGTCCCGCCTGCCCGCCCGCCCTGCGCACCTGTGCGGCGCTGCGCGACCAGCTTGCTGGGCCCCTTGGTGATGGTATACATGGTGCGCCGTCCCGCCCGCCCCTGGCAGCGGCCAGATCCCGCACCCTCCACAAGCTTCACTTTGCTTTCCCAGAGGCACGGCGCCTTTAAAAACGGAGGACGGACGAGGAGGGGCGGAGCGACCCACACACGCCCCCTGCCCTTAAAGGAGCCGCGCCCACTTGCTAGCCATCCCAAATGTTTTAGAAAACCGGGCAGGGTACTAGATTTGAGTTTGGTCTGGGTGCACTCACCAAGGAGTACGCCAGACTGTAAGCCATCCATATACAGCAGTGTGTGTGTGTGTGTGTGTGTGTGTGTGTGTGTGTGTGTGTGCGCGCGCGCGCGCGCCTGAGATTTTTGAGAGGTAGGTTCTTCGAAATGGGGGAGGAGCCTCTGTATGCTAGGTTAGTTCTCTGAGCTAGAGACACCCCCCCCCCCAACAAACCTTGAGAGCAACAATATTCCCGCTCCTATTTGAGGCCCCTCAGCCAAGTGCCTGTCCAAGCCTGGATTGCCCTCGTCTTGGATCTGCTTACAGTGAGTGCTCTAAGAGTTCAGAACTGTGTTTTAAGTAGTTAAGAAGTCCTGTGCCTTTTCACAGTAGACAAAGAGTGTCAAGGTTGCCCTGAGCCTGAAGGCCCAGGACCCAGAGGAAGAGCAGACAAGTATAGAACGCTTACGGGGTGCCCAATCCTAAAGTATTAACCTCTCCTCAAGGTTATATCCTGAGCCTTCTGGAGGTCCTTCTTTTCCCCAACTACTGGGGAAACGGAAAACCAGGTCCCCTGGGTCTGTGGGGAGAGCCATAAGGGCAGCCGACCAACCCCCTCAGTTCTCCTCAATGACACATATACGAAATGAATGCTGAGCTGACAGTTGATGTGAAGGCTTGAAACGTATCTCCCAAAACCTGTGCCACTGCCTCAAGGTTCTTATTTGAGAAGGGTCAGTCTGTTGGCAGCGGGGCCTGGGGGAGGCAGGTCTTTCTCTCAAGTTGTGGACCACTTAAGCAAGATACACAGTGAGGAAGGGGTGAAAGTGGGTAGCTGATCCACCTCAATCCCAGGGTACCCCAAAACACTTATGCAGTTCACTAGTGTAACTCCAGGGAAGTTCTCTCCCAGATGGCCAGGCTGTCAAGCTTCTCTCCAGCCCAGGGCCTTTGGCCTTACATCATCCAGAGCAGGGCTGGAGAACAAAAGGCCTTCCTCTTCTCCAGCTCAGTGAAGACTCAGTTGACTGTGTGACATGTACTAGAGAGGCACAAGAAGTCTCTACTCACCTGAGATAGGGCAGCCATGACAGCAAAGAAAGAATTCCACCCGTCTACTTGGTGACCAGTTTATTTCGGTCACTTACAGGAGCACGGGTGACTCCCGCAGCTGTGTCACTGAAAAGCCCACCGCAGTGTAGGCGCAGCTCCTGAGAGGTGAGTCCCCGAGTTCCTTTCCCAACCATACATAAGAGTCTCCTCTGTCCCAACAGGACGTGTTTGTGTTTGTGTGTATGTGTGAATCTTGAGGCTTTCCAGAGCTTCCCAAGTTTCAAATTTCTTTAGCTTCTTGAGTCTTCAGAGCTTCCCTCCTTCATCCAGAAGGGAATATTTCAATCTCCGGAAAAGAATTTTATACCAGGCCTGTGGCTGCAAAGGCTGAGTAAGGATATGGGAAGAGATTGCTTGGCCCCCAAACAAGCCCTGCCCAGGGAGTCAAGGCCTGGACATGTGTGGAAAGAAAGGGTCACTTCCTGGCTAAATTTGTCCCTTCCCATTTCTGAAGTGCCTGACTCGTCCCTGCTAACAACCAGTCAGCCTCTCCCTCCAGGGCCACTGAATCTGGTGGCCTTGAGCAGGCTACTTTATTACTCATACATGGTAGGGAGGAGGGATGGGCTACTGGGGGCTCTTGCTAGCTTTTGGAGGTTGCCTCGGAATGACAACCATACTAAGGACAGGGCAGGAGGGATCACAACCATACTGAGGGCAGGGGCAGGAAAGATCAGTTGGGTCAGAAAGAAGCGCAGTAATGGAGGCATACAGGCCCTGGTGTGGAGAGTATGCATACTATACACTGACAGGTGCTCTCTGGAGACAGGTTCCCTACTTACAACCCCAAGTAGCTGCTACCAAAAGCCTAAGCCCAGCCTCATACAACCTCATCAGTGGACAAACTCAGCCTTTGCTTAAAAATTTATTGTTTTGTTTTTGTTTTTCGAGACAAGAGTTTCTCTGTGTAGCCTTGGCTGTCCTGGACTCACTTTGTAGACCAGTCTGTCCTCAAACCCACAGAAATCTGCCTGCCTCTGTCTCCCCGAGTTCTGGGATTACAGGCCTGTGTCCCAGCTTGCTTAAATAATTGTTGGAAGGTTAGGGGGAAGAGACAGGTAATGGTGGTACATGCCTTTAAACCCAGCACAGCAGATCTTTTGAGTTTGAGGACAGCCTGGTCTACAGAGGGAGTTCCAGGACAGCCAAGGCCATACAGTGAAACCCTGTCTCAAAAAAGCAAATACATAAGTAAATAAATAAATAACCTGTTGGCCAGAACTAGAGGGCAAGGCATCTAGGCAAGAGCTGCATCAGAGGTCCAAGGGTGGTTTCAGACACCCTTAGGGCTCTCAGGTGGGTTTGTGTGGAGGCTAGGGCATGGGCAGTGAGGCCAGGTTGAGGAAGTCTAGTGCTCTCTATGGAGCAGGAAGCTGAGGAGGTGGAAGGACATTTTGGAGGGGCAGATAGACTGTTGGGGGGGGGATGCTCTCACCAAGTGAAGTCTTTCCAGATGAACTGATCCTAGACCCACTGTCACCTGCGGATGGAGCCTTGGTGGGAAGCCAGCTATGAAGGTTTGACAGGCAAGGGACACGGGGGATCACAGCCACATCCATAAGAGAGATGGGCCTGCATGAAGCCTCCCCTAACTATGCCCTTTTCAGAGAAAGGCACAGGAGATTTTGATACAGAGGGGTCGGTAGGAAAATAAAGCAGAGACTGGAGTCATGGTCAGGCCACCAAAGCTGAGGGTACTGATGGTGATCCAACACATTTGTTTTGGACTTCTGGTTTCCAGAACTGTAACTGCTGGAACCTGCCGGCAGAGGTGAGCAGTTCTTGAGTGGGGAGTGAGGATTGAAAGAAAATTTAAAAAAAAAAAACCAACACACTATATATGGAATCTGTTCCAGTAGAGTGCAGCCAGTACAAACTGTGACACTGGTTTAGTCCACAGTCCCTTTTTATAGTCAGAGCAAAGAACCTTGATACAGTGATGGAGTTCATGGAGAAGTCAAACTTGTTTACCTCAACCACCTGTCTGTGTGATCCTCACAAAGAAAAAGGGAGTGAACTTGGCAAAACATCCTGTCTATCCCTTTCTCCAGGTGAAGGCCGGGGTGAAAACAATTCCCGCTGAGAGCTCAGTAACAAAGCAGCCTGACAAACAGGTGGCTCTCCACAGGTCTCCTTTATTTTAAAAATTGACCATAACTTAAAAGCTATGGAGCAGAAGATTATGCCTGACTTAGGTTGTCTCTCTTCAAAGATGTATTCTTACCCATCATTGGTACATGGATTCCAGCATTCATGCCCTGCCTTAGGTTGAACATTTCTACGAGAGATCTTTTCCGTCTTTACCTACCAGTCTCTACTAGGGTAGCTGCTGGAGTTTAACCTGATGCAGATCAGCTTTGACATTCCAAAAGGCCTTGATGAAGGTTTTAATTATCACTGGTAGGAGACATGCTCCTAATAAGGGGAACAAGCCACAGGTTTTTTCGCTGAAAGCCAATAACAAAGCAGCCTGACAAACGAACAAACAGCTCTCCACATGTAACAAAATGAATGTTTCCATTACCAGGCTTTGGGCTAATTTGTTACAGTACCACAGAGGGTATCGAGAGGGAAGAAGAAGAAGGGCTACAGCAAGGGCTTGGGGAGAAACCTCAGGGACCTCGGCCTCTCAGAGGGGTTGAGGCTCTAACTATAACCACCAGGACTGGAACAAGGAAAGAAGCTGAGTCCTTCTCAGTTCAGGGTGTGGTGGGACAAAGTCACTGGCCCCTCTGAGAGAGAACTATAGCGGAACTGGGCACTTCTTCATCAAGCATTGCCAAAGGCCCGCCTCTAAGAAGTAGGCCCAGAGATGGGAGCCAGGACTGAGGCCAAGGCTAGCAGAGTGTGGAAGGCACAACACAAAATCCACAAGCTGGAGCTCTGGAGGGCCCTGATAATTTAGTAGTAAAGATAAATTCATCTGGAAAAGCCAAACTCAGCTTGAGGAGCCGGTACTTCTGATCCTGCCAGGGATCCAGCCTCAATAACTGCTCCCCAGGGCTACCCAAGGAGAGTCCATCTTACAGGGTCCAGACTGGGACCAGCATCGAGCCCTTGGGCTTTCCGGGAAGAAGGCGCCCTCACAGGCCAACTGCAAGCAAAGCCTCCCCGTCCCATCTGCTGGCATCTGCACCAAGTGCTGGCTGGCATCAGGACTTGGAGAGAGTGTTGGCCCATCCAGCATCCAGCTCAGAGCAGTGGCTCCCACAGGAGGGCACTGACCCCGCCAAGAACCCTTCAGCCTTTTGTTGAACACCATTCTCTAAAGCAGCTTCATTGCAGGGACGGGAAGCAGGAAGATCAGTCTCAGGCTTGTCCCTGTGTCCCTTGAGCCCTCCCTTCCTTCCCCACCAATGCCTAGAGAATTCAGTTCAAGTTTTTGTTTTGGTTTGTTTTTCGAGACAAAGTTTCTTTGTGTAGCCTTGGCTGTCCTGGAACTCATTTTGTAGATCAGGTTGGCCTTGAACTCAGAGATTCACTTGTCTCTGCCTCCAGAGTGCTGGGATTAAAGGTGTGTGGGTGTGTGTGTGTGTGTGTGTGTGTGTGTGTGTGTGTGTGTGTGTGTGTGGTGTAAGCCACTACACTAGCTTTAAGAATTAATTTTGATTGGTTGTTTTTTTGGTTTTTTTTTGGTTTTTAATTCTTCCTTTTGTTGTTGTTATTTTCTAAGACAGGGTTTCTCTGTAGCCTTGGCTGTCCTGGACTTGCTTTGTAGACCAGGCTGGCCTCGAACTCATGGTGATCTGCTTGCCGCTGGCTGCCTGAGTGCTGGGATTAAAGGCGTGGGTCCACCATGTAGAGCCCTGGCCTAGAACTCCCTCCCTGCCGAACATTAAGAGCATGCAGCTGCCTGGCTTTCACAGGCCCTCTTAAGGGCCTTGAGATATCCAGAACAGCATTGCACTTGGAAGGAGAGAAATGGCCATCTTCAACCTCTCCTGAACTTGGATGTATGGAAAGATGCCTACCCCGCCCCCCCACAAAAAAAAAAATCCCATGAGTAATCTACGGAAAAGATAAGCCATAAAGAGAGACTCAGGCAGTAAAAGGGAGAGCCTGCTGCAGAGCCTGTCAGGGTCACCTCCAATATCAGACATTCATGTCCACCTGTTAGGGGCTGCTCAGCGCGGGAGAGGGGCTGGATTTCAGGACTGCTCTGAATCCAGACTGACCGCCTTTCAAAGGGGTTGCCTAGAGCGGTCGTCCTATAACCCATCACTCTCCATCCTCGGGCCGTGTCACTTACATGGTTTAACCACACCCCGGGCCACTTTGGCTGACTGGACACACCTTGGGCAGTAACCTCAAGCAGGACCCATGCTCCCCCCGAGTAGCATGATATAGTATGAGGCAAGAGCAGCCCAGGCAAGCCTTGAACTAGCTGCTGACAACCGGGCGTTGGCGTTCCGAGCATTTCCTGAAACCCAGCCCCTCTGAGTCACGGACGCCTTCAAACCTCTACTGAAGTACCCTTGTCCAAGCACTCGTCGCCTCGAATTTCATTTCACCGGTCACAGACTACCCCCTGCTATCTATCCGTGGACCTCAGCTGTTGCCAGCTGTCTCAGCGTCACCCAAAGCTCTTCTGAGCCCCAGCTGTCGGACGGGAGGAGGAGTCCTGCATCTGGGACCCCAGCTCCATTCGGCTGCCACCCACAACGCCCACGCCCACAAACCTGGGCCAGCTGGACTTCAGGACCTAACCGCGGCCTCGCACTTTCCAAGCGATCGCCACTGCTATGGTTTCCACGGCGCAGAACCAAACATCCTAGTTGTCTCTAAACCTCGTGTCCCCACCATTTTTTCCTTTCCGTCGGACGCCAGCAGCACTTCGGGATCCGGTGGGATAACACGTCCTGTGAACTCTGTCAATCGAGAACTGGCGCGCAATAGAAAAGACGCATGCGCAGTGCTGTCACACTGGCCCAGTTTGCGTCACCATTCGTAAGTCCTGTGGAGGGCCTCACAACTCAACAGCGCCGCTGGTGTAGTGGTATCATGCAAGATTCCCATTCTTGCGACCCGGGTTCGATTCCCGGGCGGCGCAGTTCGTTTTTTTCCCAACACATCTCTGAAACAACCTTCCTATAAGGGTGTATCGTAAACACGAGAAATGAACGCTCGAAGTGACAAACGGGCTGAAAACCCTCGAGATATAAGGTGCTAGAGCGGAAAGACTCCAATAAACCACATCCTTTCCTCGAGTCTTGTTCCCTGTCTGGAGTCACCGACAAGCCCGGATGAGGACCGTTTATGGGTGTGAACGGCCTCCCGATTGTTATACTGCAGCAGGCGGCTGGGCGGTGCCACTATAACTCCCGAAGTGCCCTGCGCAGGACCTGGACCAAAGCTCCCGTCGTGCCCCGCGCGCACCCCTAGCTGGGCTTGGCAGCACTGCTGGGATGTTGGTGGCTGCAGCTGCTGAAAGAAACAAGGAGCCCATCCTGCGCGTGCTCCGCCAGTATGTGGATTCTGCCCAGCACGGCGTTCGCGTGCTCGAGGTGGCCTCGGGTTCCGGACAGCACGCCGCGCACTTTGCTCAGGCTTTCCCGCACGCCGAGTGGCAGCCATCGGACGTGGACCAGCGCTGCCTGGACAGGTGCGGCGGCGGTGGCGGCGGCGGCGTCGTCTACCCCTTGCGGAAGCTTGGGGCTGAGTGGGGGGGGCGGGGCTAGCGGACCGGAAGTGAGGGAAGGCCCAGGTCTGGATGCCCCACTAAGACAGTGGAAGCAACGGGCTACAGGGTGGATAGAGCTACCCGCTACCCGCTTACTGCTCCTCAGGACTTAGCCCCTGTGAGCCACTGAGGGGCCTGGCCGGCCCTCGCCCACGCGCTGTTCTCCACAGCATTGCTGCCACCACTCAAGCCCAAGGTTTGTCCAATGTGAAGCCTCCGCTGTACCTGGACGTGACCTGGGAGTGGAAGCAATGGGGCGGGATTCCGCAGCGATCGCTGGACCTGTTGCTCTGCATCAATATGATCCACATTAGCCCCCTGAGGTGCACTGAGGTGGGGACCACTGTGGAGCCCAGCGTTCACGTTGTTGGGAGGGAAGCCCCAGGCTTCAGCTCCCAGCTTACTGTGCCCTGCCTCCCTCTCTTCAGGGACTCTTCAGAGCAGCAGGACACCTGCTCAAACCCAAGGCTGTGCTGATCGCCTATGGGGTGAGTGACCCTAGCTTAAGAGGCCCCTCAAAACCTTGTTTCCCATCTCTCGAAGCCCAGAGGCTGAGTCCTAGCCCCTTTCCTTCCTGAGTGCAGAAAAGAGGTGGTTCTTTCCATACTCTGGATCCTAACCTGCAAATCAGACCTATGGGAATAGCTGACCTTGGGCCTATGAACTGTGTCTCCTTGTTCCCGCAGCCCTTTGCAGTCAATGGGAAGATCTTTCCCCAGAGCAACGTGGACTTTGACCAGAACCTCAGATGCAGGTCATACCTGGGTAGGAGGGGGCTTGGCTCAGAGGGCAAGTGGGCTGGATGCTCTCATCTCAGCGTGTGACCTCTACTCCCTCGCTAACTGCAGGAACCCAGAATGGGGGCTTCGTGACACAGCCCTCCTGGAGGAACTGGGCCGGGCCAGCAGCTTGGTCCTGGAGAGGATGGTAGGCAGGGCCATGTGGGGGTGGGGAGTCGCCCTGTGACTAAGGGCCACTCCAGCAAAGCATTTTTTCAGGTGGACATGCCAGCCAACAACAAGTGCCTGGTCTTCCGGAAAGAGGAGCCTCCCTTCGGCCTCCCGTGTGCCTACGTCTCTGTCAAAGGCCCTGTCTCGGTATGAGCCGGACCTCGGTCCCTCCCTCACTGGGGCAGCCCTCCTTGTCTGGTGGCCACAGGGCTGCAGAGAGCCCAGGTACAGCAGGTCTTGAAATAAAGCCATTCCAGCCCCCTTTGGGCTATCTATACCACATTGCTTGCTGAGAATACTGGGGGAGGGCAGAAGGGGATTGGTCTGGGGGAAGGTTAGGGTTGGGGGGGGTGTATGGCTGAAGCACAACTATGCTGCTTTCCTCTTATGTTCCTGGAGAGAAACTTGTAGGCCTGTAGGAGGGTCCCCAAGAGTGACTCGGTGACCTCAAGTAGGAACTGGAGCTCCATCTACTCACAGGGTTCCAACTGGACAGTTAGAACTGTCTGCGATGGGCGCCGCAGCTGGAAGGGAACCAGAGGCTATGAATCCCACAGTGTAGACGTTTATTCAGCAGGAAGGAGGGCGGGAATGGGGATTATGAGGAAAGCTAGTCTTGGAAGCGGTTGAGCAGTTCACAAGCCTTCTTCTCGAGCAGTTCTACGATCTTCTTGACTCGCTTCTCACTGGCAGCACGAACATAGCTGTTGGCATCCAACACGGCCACACCTTCACGAACCTCACCCATGATGACCAGTGGCCCATCACCAGCTGTCACATTGGGGCATGGGCAGGCCCAGTCCATGCCACTCAGTGTCACCTCCAGGTATTTGGTGCCCAAGAACTTGAGGCCCATCTTGTCATCCTTGAGCACGTCATCTAAGGCCACACGAGCAATGCCACCTGCAGCCTCGGGCTCCTCCAGTACCTCAGTGAGTCGACCCACAATGGCAAAGTCGCTGCGGCACAAGCTCAGGGCCAGCTTGCTCTTGAGGCGGCAGGCACGGCAGGGTGGTGTGCGTGGCACGGGGCAAGCATCCTCGCAGCTCTCCCGGCTCTCAAAGTTATTGCTATTGCCTTCACAACCACTGTATACAAAGGGGTGGCATTGCTGCAGCAGTGGGCTGTAGGCCCAGCGTGGCTCCCAGCCCTGGCAGGGGCCCTGAACTGCAGGCAGTGCGCAGGCATCCCCAGGGCCACGGGCACAGGCCTGTTGGCATGCTTCATAGGTCTCGAAGCCCCGGGCAGCCCCATCACATTTGAGAGCTGGGAAGGTCATGCAGCTGCCTCGCTGTGGGTCAAAGCGCCAAAGGACATGATGGGGGTTAGGGGGCCCCACACAGGCTTGTGTGTCGGGCTGGCACTCGGCTAGGGCCAGGACACCTGGGTCCCCATCCCGAGTACTGGCCCGCTGCAAAACAGAAAGGGGGAAGTCAGCCCGCAGCAGGCCAGCGGCATTGCGCGCGGTGCAGGTGTACAGGCCCGCATCTTCCAGCCGGGCATTGTAGAGCACTAGCTGCCCTATGCTGGTGACAACCACATTGCCATACATTTGGTCAGGCCGCATGATCAGATTCTCCCGCTGATGGCTCTGCTTCTCCCAGGTCACAGCAGGTGGTGGACGGCCACTGACATCACAGTGGAAGCTGGCTGTTCCCCCGACGTGTACTGCCTGCGGCGAGGGGCTATTGTACAGGGCAGGTGGCATGGGAGCGGCCCCAGGGGTTGGGCGAGCGGTGGTCTCGGGCGGTCCTGGGCTGCTGGGTGGCCAACTGAGAATGTGCTTGCAGGGTACAACATGCAGGTGGAGACCCCGCAGGCAGGCCTCCGCATCCATATAGCAGCGGTTGTAATAGGTGAGGCCGTCGGAAGCACAAGTGAAGCTGGGTTCTTTCTCACAGCGGTCACGGCAGCGGCAAACTGGCTGCCCATCCCAGATGTCACAGTCGGAACCCTGTTGTGGGCACTGGAAGCCTTCACAGGAGGCTGTTGTCTCGGGTGCAGCTGGGCCACCGCTGGGGAAGCGGGCGGCCACGCAGCTCTGTAGCCCACACACATTGGTGCAGCACTTCTCGGATGCCGCACAGTCCTGAAGGACAGGGACAGTTTAGTGGAGTCCTGACCCCTTCCCAGCCTTGCCCATGCGCTACCCTGCCTCTCTACCCTGGGAGAGGTGGCTGCCTCTCTCAAAACCTCCTTCCCCATGGAAAATGGCGGTAGTGCTGCTTTCTGGACAGTCTGCCCACTGAGGCCGCATGTGTCACTGAATCCTCAACACCCCTAAGCAGGCCTCATTAACACTCCTGCTGTGCAGGTAGCTGCTCTGCCATCAGAGGGCGCACTACTGTGGGAACTCTGTCCCCTTCCCAGTCTGGAATATGAGGAGAGGACAGCAGACAGGCAGGGCAGGGAAGGGTGGTGCCATTTGCAGGGGTAGGTCAGAGGGAGACATAGGTCCACGTGACCTAAGGGAAAAAAGTGGTGCTCAGGCAGGTTAGAGACAGGACTGGTGAAGATGAGTCAGTCCAGGGACTGGAGATGTTCTTGTTCTTCAGAGGGCAAAAAGATGGGGGTATTCTTCGAGCCCCGTGTACAAGTCATGGCCACAAATCCAGGTAAATAAGTATGGAGGAACCTTGGAGGAAGCAGACTCCTTCCTAGGACTGGGATCTACTCCCCCCACTGACAAAGAGCTAGGGGGTGGGGGCCCAGGGTCCCATGAGATGCCAGTGCTCACCTGGTCCCTGGTACACTCACGCTCACAGGTGCTCTGGGCGTCCACCCACAGGTGGGGGCTGAGCTGGTTGGGGCACATGCCAGGGTGGCTTCCAGGCTCTGGCAGCAGGTTGGTCTCCGAGGTTAGAAGGATGAGCACGAAGACAAAGAAGAGAGGCAGGAGTGGCTGTGGGGCAGGCATGGGGACCACAGGGCCAGGGGGTGGGAAGTGTGTGGCCACCAGCCAGGACTCCCTACAGATAGCCACCCTATAGGGTCCTGGGCCTAGGATTACTACCCCTGCCTCAAAGGACCCTCTCCTTTGACTCTTGGATTCCCCAATGCTGGAGCTCACAGCTGATGCTCCTCTCTGGACCTGAGTAGGTATTTTGGGGCCTCTCAGAACCTGTCCACAAAGTAGTGGCTGGCCCTCTCCCAAACACTGTGGGTGGCTCCCAGGCTCTGGTCAGCATAGGACTGGGAACTGAAGAGGAGGAAGGGCTGGGGAGGGGCCAGAGGCCCTGAAGCCCAGAGCAACTGACCACTAGGGTCACCAAGGGGCGGAGAAGGGCCAGCTAAACCAGGGAGGGGGGTGCTGTAACCCGAGCCCCTCCCTCTACAAGCTGGAGCCCAGCAGGAGTCAGTCTCTTTGAAGACCCTCCCACCCTCTACTCAGGGAGGGGGGGGGCGGGGCTGGCAAATTTCAGCTTTTGTCCTCACCCTTCAGTCTCTCACGCAGCACTCACTCCAGCCTCAGCTGACTACTGGTTTAGGTTCACTCCAAAGGCAGACAAGGATGGCGCCTATCCCAAGTATAGGTAAGGCGCATCTTCTACTGGCAAGTGATAGAGGTTCTGTTTTTCTTTCCGTCCCCTTCAAGCATCACACTTGTCAGCAGGTCTTGGCATGGAAAAAAGAAACCTGCTAGGGTGCTTGGTGTGGTGTTACACACCTGTAATCCCAGCACTGGGGAGGTGGCAGCAGAAGGTGCCAGATTGAGACCAACCGAGGGAGCTACACAACAAATTCCAGGCCAGTTTGGCTAGAAATGGACACACAATCTCAAAACAAAACCCCTCCCTGCTAGGCTTTGGTGTCTTACCAGCTGAGGGCACAACGAGGCAGGATTTATCCTCCCAGACACTCAATTCTCAAAAACTGGGCTCCTGGCTTCTAGCCAGGGTCTATGCCACTCACTCACTTCAAACGGGCAAGGCAGGTACAAAATAAATAGGGTTATCCTATCTGCATGGAAACAGATGATTCATGTGCACTGGCCACAGACAGTCTGATTTGGTACTTAATGTAAACAAGGGCACAGAGAAGCCACCAAACTGACCACACATAGGCCTAGATACGTGGTTGTCTCGGGTTGGCCAAGTGCATCTTTCAAAGAGCAGGCATCCTACATGTTGCTCAGGGATCTAAGGACATTCAAGCCTTGCCCCAGTGACCCACCACGAGGGCCAGCATCCATTCTTTAGCTGCACTAGAGGCTCCACTACTGTGGGGGAGGGCAGGGAGATCAAAGCTGGTGGCAAGACAAAGGCCCTGCCTGGAATCTGCCTTTCCAAACCCTTTCTGTGGCTCCAGAGGTCCCCAGGGAGTGGTTTTTTCAGAGACAGGAAGGAAAAAGTCTGTGTGACCCTTTGTCTGACCTCCTGACCCAGGAGGCAGAGTAATAAGAGCCTGGTCTGGTGAGGAGATCAAGAGATGGCTACCAGGCGCCAGTGTCTGCTCCCTTACAAAAGAGCTTTGGGTGAGCCAGCTCCTAGTGATGAGGGGGCAGGGATCACCAGGCCACAGGCCCAGGATGAGCCTAAGAAAAAGTGCAGGTGGCACCTAAGCCAGAGGCCAACTTTAAAGTGAATGGAACGATCCTATTCCGCTCAGCTTCACCCTCCAGTGTATCAGACACAACCCTGGCTGAGCAGGGCCCTGCAGAGCCCATAACCTGCTAGATGTTTTCCTGCTAAAGGTACCAACTCCAGGTCCCACTTACAGAGATGTCCTTGAAGCTGTGGTGAATTTTTTGAACTATGTGGTGACAGTCTGCCAGGGCTGTAAGTTAAGAATAGTTAGGCTGCCTGGTTCTAGCCTAGCCAAGATTGGATAGACCCCAGGAAATAGTGTGGCTTGTAACCAGGCCTTGCTACTTCGTGGCTGGGAATGTGAACCCAGTCAATGGATGGCCGCAGGTCAGCAAGGTCAGCTGCAGGGGAGTTAACAAAGCCTGGGATCATTCTGGCAGGCACAAAGCAGTGCTGGTTCCTGTGGCAGAGCACACTGCCAGATACCCCTTTTCCACCCCCAACAAACCACAGCCAAAGAAAGACATGAGCTCACTGCTGAAGTACATTTACTGTACAAAGAAGTAAGAACAAAGAACCAGGAATGGTGGAGTCCACAGCAGCAAGGGTAGTGTTGATGGTGTGCACGCAGGCCAATCCAGGTCCTCAAAGTCTATACCATTCTATTGGCGATTCCAGAGAAAAGGTCTCTTATCAACAGCAACAGGACTGGTGGGGAAAGGTGATGCTTGATTGTATCCAGCCCCTGGGCCAGAGTCCCAGGTGCTGCTGCTTATCAGGCAGTTCCCACAACCATAACCCTGTCCCGACAGGCATTAACCCAATCTCCCAGAACAGCAGGCTGGCGCAGTGTCTACCAGTGCCCTAGTAACACCCATGGCAAGATGGTCTTAGGAAATGTGCACTAAGAAGGTCCCCAGTAAGGGGTCATGGCTCCTGCTATGGCCAGGGCCCTGAGGGCAGGAGGTAGAGTTAAGCACCAGCGTGCCTGAGGGCTGTGTCACCAGGCAAGGACGGGGGTGCAGTCACACAGGACATCCACTGGGGACAACATCCCCACAGGGGAAAAGGCTGACCAGAGCAGAGTGGGGTAGGAGGAGCATTGTGGAGAAATAGTCCATGGCTTCAGAAGTTGCTCTAGCCAGTGGGTCCCTAAGGAGGGGCTGGGTGTCCAACCCTATGGTTGAGGCTGCTGTTCCAGAAAGTGTCACTAAGAAACAGGTCAGAGATTCCAGTGACATGAACTTATAGGCAGAAGGGCCACAATAGGCAAGGAGCAGCTATGAAACACAGCTAAGGTTGATGAGAACAAGCTGCTAGACACTGAGGTCCTAGGCCCTGTGCCCAAACCACAGACACTGGAGGCCATCAAGCACTTAAGTCTGCAGAAAGCTCTGTAGCCTCAACCTGGAGATGCTGAGTGAATAGTAAACATCACCAAAAGTGCGAGGGCGCAGTAGGGAGGGATACAAGTGGGGTTCCCAGGCGCTCCAACTTGCTCCTCTCCTAGGAGGTCTCAGGAGTGAGACCTGGCCTATGTCCAGCACAAGCTGCAGCCAAGCCTGCTGACAGGCCTCTGGAGTGCCCCCATGCCCCATCTGTTTCCCACTGGCCTCTGAGCAGCCTCAACACCCAGCCAGGGTATTTATAAATCCAAAGAGCATTTGGCTTCCACACTGAAACCCTCCAGCACTGCTTCATCACTCCTTCCCTGACATCCTGAGCTTCCCCAATGGCTGATGTGGCTCTGAGGGGCATCCAGGCTTCCCTGACAGCCCTTTAAAAATGTACAAAACAGGTAAAATGTTCTCCATATAAATAAAGGGGAGCCAGGCTCCCTTCCAGCCTGGAGTCCAGGACTGGTTCAGACCTGGTCCCCGTAGCACCAGCAGCCCTGCTGCCTGGTCTGTGGAGCATGTTCTCTCCCACACGCCCTCCCCTCCACTAGCTCACATGTGGAGGAAAGCCTGGAGAGACCCAGGCAGGGTTGTGTAGGCAAGTCTTCCTGCACACAGCAGGGCCTAGCGCCTGGCCAGGAGTGCTCCAGCGTAAGTCTGAACAGGCGGAACCCACAGGTCCCGCTAGGAGATCTTGCAGTTGCTCCGAGAGCAGTTCTGAGGTGGACTCTGGGGGGGACGGATGGACTTGGACCTCTTAAGGCTGTTGCCCTTGCTGCCACTGCCCCCGGCCCCACTTGCCAGGGAGTAGGAGCGGCCGTGCATCATGACAGCGTTCATGCCGTTGGCCATGGAAAAGGACTTGAGGTGGCTCTTGATGGTGACAGGTAGTGGAAGCTTGTCAATGAGGTGCACAGGGGTACAGGAGACAATGGCACGGCAGCAGAGGTCCTGCAGGCTGAAAACTGTGAGGGGAGGGGAGGATAAGTGATGAGGTTTTGTTAGGGGAGCTACATGCTCCTTACACTACCTGTAAAGCCTGGCTGGGTCTTGAAATTCCTGGTGGCTTCACCAGCTCAAGGCTCCTGGGCAGCCACTATCTGTCTACTGAACGGCTCCCATCTCCTGCCTTCTTAGAGCAGAGCACACTATAGAGTACTGCTGGGAGAGGCCAGTCTGCCCAGCTGCTCCACGAGACTGAGGGTGGGTGAAGAGGCAGACTAACTTCGGAACACAGGCCTTACTGTAGCTCTGGTTGGAGGTTAACTCAGTCTTTTGGCTCAAGAGAGGGAATTAGTTATCCTGTTCTCCTCTGTGGCTTCACCTTAGGGTGACACTGTGACCATCTCTGCCTAGTCACTGTCCTATTAGAAAGTACCCCAAAGGAAGGCCATCATTAGGGACTTTTGACCAAGTGCTCGGCATGGACACTGATATAGACATTGCTGAGCTCACATACTGCTTCCGTGACCACGTAGCTGTGAAGGTGCAGCGCAGAGCTCTGCTCTCAAAGCATGTCAAGGAGAGAGATCACTTGCGCCAGTTCTGGACAAGCAGTGTGGGTGACTGCAGCTCCTAAGGGACCACCTACATTCTAACCCCACTATCAATGCCTGCAGCTCCACCATCAGCCTCCACAACTCCACTAGCAAGCATCCTCTCTGAACTAGGCCTCAGTCCCACCTCGATTGGGCCTCCAGATCTTCTCCATGCCATGCCGCATGAGGACGATACGGGACAGCTCAGTGAAGGACTCGATGACGTTGAAGTTGCACAGGGGGCTGACTTCAAAGAAGGTCATGCAGTTCTTCTCTGCGTAGGCTCGGGCCTGCTCTGTTGGGACTTGCCGCTTGAAGGCCAGGTGCAGCCGGTTCCCAACCAGGATACGGGGAACACCAGGTGCGTGCTTAGGAGGAGTTCACAACTCAGCAGAGGCACAATCATATGCTACCCCCACCCCCTGGCCACAGGCAGGGCTTCCAGGGTCTGCATTCTGCAGTGGAACAAGTCCAGGGAGGTCTGGATAGAACCAGGTGAATAGGGGAGTTTAGGTGTTTATTGCTGAACAACACTCCAGAGTAAGGAAGGACTACAGCGAGCAGCACTCCCAGGTATGGCCCTGTCACGGCGTGGTCCCAGAGAGGTGCAGACCCACACTTACCTCATCGATCTCCTTGATCCACCGGTCAATGCCATCAAAAGACCAACGGTTGGTGATGTCGTACACCAGGAGGATTCCCTGTGAGCAGATGGAAGGAGGTTACCCACAGGCATGTTTGGGCCCATCCCCAGGAGAAACTTGCTGGATGGGAGTAGTCACAATGTGTAGGCAGAGCTAGGAACATGGCCCAGAAGACTACATAGATCACTAGAGTGGCCGTGACCTGCAGGAAGGAAATGCATCTGCCACCCAACAGGAGAGCAGCAGGAGGGGACCTTCTATGAGCTGAAATGGCCCCATACATATATGCCATCCCATTCATCCCCTGAGAACATGGCTGCACAGAACTGACTTAAACTTTCTTCTTTTCTTTTCTTTTTTTTTTTTAAATCCAGGCCAGTCACAAGCATTGCTCTGAAATCATCACACAGGCTAAGCACACACACACAGGTCTAAGCTTTGGTAGGGGGAGGGGTGTGAAGAGCCACAGAACTCACTAGAGGGCCAAACATTCTGGAAGTCAGTACATCAGCGAACTCTGCCCTGGGGGCACCTGGGGCTGAATGAAGGCAGCTCTGAGTTTTCCAACTCCAAACCTGTACAGCAGCATGTCAGTCACTCAAGGAGCAGGAGTCAGTGAGAGTTGCTCCAGTCGGGCTAAGCATGATTTGCTACGGGGCCTTTCCTGCAACATCCCTTAGAGACCAATTACTGGGAGCTCAGCTTTGGGCTGTCTCCATCTGCCTCAAACATCCCGGTGGGGCCGCTGTCATGGACTTTCCAGCAGGGGCGATGTTGAGCACACTGCAAATGTGCCTCTCATTCTGAGTTGACTTTGAGGTTTAGCAATCAGAGTCCACTCATCAAATTACTCCTCTTTCCACAGGTTCACAGACAGGGAGGACAGAGAAGGGGGAAAGAGAAGGATGAAGATGGGAATAGGAGGAGGTAAGCAGAATTTCCATTTGTGAAAAATTCAGGCTAGTGCCAGGTCCTACAAAGACAAAGGTACCCTTACCCACAGGTAGGCAGCAGGGCCTGGCTCAAACAGGTGGGAACTTTTCTATCCTGGAGGAGCCCCATACCAACCACGAGGCCAGGTACCACTGAGAGGAGCCAAACTGGACTTTGCCTTACCTCAAGGAGCCAGGTTAGTGGGTAAAAAAACGTTAGTATTTACAATATCTAAACAGCAGAGATGGATGTCCACATTTATAATCTCAGGACACCGAGGCAGGACTGCTGCAAACTTGAGGCCCCTCTAGTGGTCTAGATAGCTAGGTCTAAGCCAGCCAGGGCTACACAGCAAGTCCCTGATTGAAAAACTGTAATGAGGGGCTAGAGAGATGGCTCAGAGGTTAAGAGCACTGGTTGTTCTTCCAAAGGTCCTGAGTTCAAATCCCAGCCACCACATGGTGGCTCACAACCATCTTTGAGATCTGGTGCCCTCTTTTGGAGTGTAGGTGTACATGCAGGCAGAACACTGTACAGCGATGCACACCTGTAATCCCCAGCACTCAGGAGGCAGAGGCAGGTGGATGGCTGTGAGGCTAGCCTGTCTACAGAGTGAGTTCTAAGGTAGCCAAGGCTACACAGAGAAACTGTCTAGAAAAACCAAACACCCAAACTGTAATGATTTAAATGAAAATGGCCCCATAGGCTCATATATTTGCATGCTTAGTACCTAGTTGATAGACTGATTGGGAAGGATTAGGAGGTGAGTAGCTGGGGTTGGGTTTTGAGGTTTCAAAAGCCCCATGCCAAGCCCAATGTCTGTCTCCCTTTGCCTGATGTCTGCAGGTCAGGGTGTAAAGCTCCCAGCGACTTCTCTAGCAACATGCTCCCCGCCATGATGGACTAAGCCTCTGAAACCGTGCACAAGCCCCCAATTAATTCTTTTGTAGGAAGTAACCATAAAAACAGAACAGTAATGACATAACTAAGACGAAAAAAAAAAAAAAAAAACAACCAACAATAATAACAAAGTCCCACTCCCTCCCAAAATCAATAAACAAGCACCTGTCTACCCTGTTGCTTGGGCACAGGGAGGGAGGCCGAGCTTTGGAGGTGATAGTGCCACCTATCAAATCACAGCATGTGGTAATCTGGCTCCTGAGCATTACTCAAAGGTATGCCAAAGACCACCCTGGAGAGGCTCCTCTCAGCACACTTTAGCAGTGAAGGCTTTCTTTTTTTCATGGGGGTGAGGAGGAACGGACAGATTGTAGTTGAATGGCAGAGTTGTAGCCTAGAGTACATGAAATCCTGGATTCTAATCCTGGCATAACAAAGTAGGAGGGAGGAGGGGAGGAGGAGAAAAAATGTCCAATGGTAAGTGGTTGGAGGACTAGCTAAGTGCTACAGCAGACAACATGCAAAGCTCAGGATTCCATCCAGAGCATGGCAAAGCAACAAAACAAAACAAAGCAAAGAGTGTTCTAAGTAAGTATAGTTGATGATCCCAGTAAACGCACACAGTAAGTTGTGAAGTGGGAAATACAGAGTCCCATAGTTATGTATACTGACACTTGAAAGAATGAAAGCACAAATGGAAGTTTACGAAAACATTACGCAGATGGTATGACGCTGGCTGGCTTAATTTCTTGCTTATGCTTCACTTTCTGCCATAACCAGCATTTGTGTTGTGTTTAAAAACAAGTAAGCAGAAGGCCACCTGGAAGAGGAGCTCCTACGGAGGCTGCCCCCTTGCCCTGGCTACCCCTCCCGGCAAAAGCACTCCCAGCTTTGCTTTCACATCAGGCCCTTCCTCGGAGAGTCTATGAGTGCAGGCTGGAGTAGAGAGACCAAAGCGCCTGTGTATTTCCTAGAAAAAAACCATCTGAACTGCAGGCGAGATAGCTGAAAACCAAAATAAAGTTTTTTTTCTTACTATCCCCAAAGCTATCAATTGTGTCTCAAAAGACAAAAAGACTCTCCTACACATTCTTCTCTTTTGTTTTTCGAGACAGGGTTTCTCTGTGTAGCCCTGGCTGTCCTGGACTCGATTTGTAGACCAGGCTGACCTTGAACTCACAGAGATCCGCCTGCCTCTGCCAGCTGAGTGCTGGGATTACAGGTGTACACCACCATGCCCAGCTCCTACCCCTTAATTTATATATCAGAAAACATATGAATTGAGACAAGGATACCGATGAGTTTTTGACATATATTTATCCATGTAACCATTATACAATTGAGATGTAGTGTGCCTTGTGGGTGAGTGTTAATGTCAGATGTCTTCCTCAATTATCTCTGCCTGGTTTTGTTTTGTTTGGTTTTGTTTGTTTGTTTTGATGACAAGGTGTCTTACTGAACCTGGAGCTTGCCAATTTGGCTAGACTGGCTAGCCAGTAAGTTTCTGGAATCTTTCTGTCTCTGCCTCCCCAGGACTGGGAATACAGGCTTTTAATATGGGAGCTCATCCTCAGGTCTTCATGCTTGTGTGGCAAACACTTTCCAGACTGAACCGTCTCCCTGGGGCTTTAAAGTACCTTTAAGAAATAAAAACTGGGGCTGGAGAGATGGCTCAGAGGTTAAGAGCATTGGCTGCTCTTCCAGAGGTCATGAGTTCAATCCCCAGCAACCACATGGTGGCTCACAACCATCTAAAATGAAATTTAGTGCCCTCTCCTGGTGTGCAGGTGTACATGCAAACACACATTGTATACATACTAAATAAATAAATCTTAAGAAAAAGAAAAAAAAAAAGAAATAAAAACTGAGCATTTAATCTCAGCACTCAGGAGGCAGAAGCAAGCACATCTCTGTGAGGGTGAGGCCAGTCTCACCTACATATCAAGTTCCAGGCCAGCCTGGGCTACACAGTAAGACCGTCTTATGCTGTCTCAAAACAACAGACAAAAAACCCTTACAAATTAAACTGGGTCTGGTGGCATATGCTTATAAATCAGTACTTGGGAGGCTGAGATGGAACTGCTTTGGGACCAAGGCCAGCCGGTGTTACATAGTAAGACCCTGTGTCAAAAGGAAAGGGGAAAGGGAAGGGAAGGGAAGGGAAGGAGAGGAAAGAAGGAAGGAAGGAAGAAAGGAAGGAAGGAAGGAAGGAAGGAGGGAGGGAGGGAGGGAGGGAGGGAGGGAGGGAGGGAAGGAAGGAAGGAAGGAAGGAGGGAGGGAAGGAAGGAAAGAAGGAAGGTAGGTCGGACAGAAAGCAAGGCAGTCGATAAGCCTGTCATGGTTACATACACCTGTTATCCTCTCACCTTAAAGGTAGAAGCAGGAAGATCAGCTCAAGGCTAGTCTCAGCTGCATAGTTAAAAATCAACCTGAACTTCATAAAACCCTGTCTCAAAAATAAATACACGGAACTGGGAGACGGCTCCTGTTGCCAAGACTAACGACCTGAATTTGACCTCTGTGATCTACATGGTAGAAGAGGACCAACTCCCAAAACTCATTCGTCCTTTGCCCTCCACTTATTCACTCTCCCCTCAAATAAATAATAAATGTAAATAAGTAAGTATTTAATGCATATAATGTATGTGTGTGGTTCCAAATCCCAAAGTACAAAGAGCCAGAATGAAATCCTCCTGTGCCTACCTCACACCACACCCTGGTTATGCTAAACTGTTCTCCCCTATGTGCAAACCCACACCCACCCACCTACACCCACACCCCCCCACACTCTCCATGCCTGCCAGATGCCAAGTTGCATGCTGGTGTTCTCAGCAATGACCAATTAGCATGTATCCTCTACTACTTCCTATACAATCATTTCATGTAAACAAATCCACTTCTGTCCTTAAAGGACGGAGCACTGGACCACATACTTCCTGATCTTATGGAAGTGAATCCAAGCCCAGCTGGACAGCGCCTCCTGCTGGCAATGGTGTGGCCCTACCAGCAGATATTGTCAGGCCTCTTACCACCTCCAAACACCAAGCCAGGGGGACCTGCTCACTCTCCTAGAAGGCAGCACAGGACTACAGGGATTAAGATGCCACTTCAGGACTCAAACCATAAAAACATTTGAGTTTGGCCATTGGTGAGGTTTAAAGGGATTCAGCAAGAGCCACTGAAAAGGGCTAAATGTGACAAGTAGCAAAAGCAAGGGAGAGGGAAGTGGCCTTTGGCTATGTGCAAGACCTAGACCCTGAGGAACCCAGAAGGCCTCTTTGGGTTGGCGAAGTGCAGCAGAGCAGGAAAACATGTCCCGTTAAGATGGCTTGTCCCAAGCCAGGTGCAGTAGCGCATACCCGGAATACCAACACCCTGGAGACAGAGGCAGGCCTGGTCTACAAAGTCCAGGACAGCCACGACTGCACAGAGAAACCCTGTCTCAAAAAACAAGAAAAACAAAAATAACAACAACAAAAAAATATGGCTTGTCCTGTTCCAGGTGGCACAGAGAAGCACTGTAGGAAGCCAACATCTCATTGCTATTGTCTTTACACAGAATGCACAACAGACGGTTCAGGAATGAAACCAGGGGCTTGCACCAAGGACAAAGCCACAGATACAAGCTAAGATGTGTGGCTCCTTTCATCCAGGAGACAGCCACTAAGAACTTCTAGAAGAAACAGGCAGAGCAGAAATAGAACCAGTGGTGCTAGATGCTTTGGGAAGGCTTCAAAATCGATGACATTTTCTTTCTAGAAAATATTGGACTGACAAAGACAGTCATGACGTGTGTGTTTTTTTAGTTCCCATGTACCAAGCAGATGTGGCTGGTTGGATTAGTTTCTTGCTACATCCACTCCACGCCTCATGGCTTTCTCACTGCATAGCACCAAACCCCGTCAGGCTGTCTCTGAGCTACCGTTTTCTTTTTCCCCCAATAACCTTTTAGTGTTGTCACCCAAAGTAATATTTTCTTTTTGTAAATTCAGTTTTTGGTATTTTTTTTTAGATTTATTTCGTGTGTATGAATGTTTTTCTGTGTTTATGGTTGTACAGCAAGTACATGCCTGGTGCCCATCAAAGTCAGAGAACTATGGATCCCTTGGAACTTGAGTTAAGGATGGTTACAAGTCATCACGTGGGTGCTAAGAATCAAACCCAGGTCCCCTGCAAAAGCAACAAGTGCTTTTAACCACTAAAGCATCTCTCTAGCCCTCTTTTATTTTAAATTTCAAAATTATATGTATTTACTGCTTTAAAAACCTGAAAATGCTGCTAAGCAAAAGGTAGGTAATTAGTTATGACTATAAATGTGGGACTTGCAAGATGGCTTAGCATGTAAAGGTACTCGCTACCAAGCCTGATGATCTGAGTTTGATGCCTAAAGGAGGCCAATTCCCACAAGTTGGCCACTGAGCTCCACACTCTTGCCTTGTTATGTACTATGCATGTTCTTTCTCTCTCAATGCAAAAGAAAAAAGAAAACAAAAAAAATGTAGATGTAAAAGATATTCCTCATTCCCCTTTTAAAAGAAAATGGGGCAGAGAATAGTGGCTCATGTATATAATTCCAGCAGTTAGAGGCTGAAAAAGGAGGGTCCTTCAGAGTTTGAATCGCACCTGAGGCTAGAGTGTGAAATCCTGTCTCAAAAATCAAGGAGAGGAGTTGTAGAGATGTCTTAGTACCTAAGAGTAATGACTGGTTCCAAAGGACCCAGATTTGATTCCCAGAACCCACATAGCAGCTCAAAACCACCTATAACTCCAGTCCCAGGAGATCTGAAGCCCTCTTCTAACCTCTATGGCCATCAGGAATACATGTGGTACACAGTCATACATGCAAGCAAAATACCCATCATATAAACCCATTTTTAAAAGAAAAGTGAAGAGGAACCTACAGAATTCATCCTTAGCCTATGCGCCTCGCTCTCTCATGTCTGAAAGTACCGAGACTTCAGACTCTGCTTCTGCCCTCAGGGTCTTGCCTCTGTGTTCCCAAGGCTGTTCCTGGCTGTCTAGAGGTAGGGCCTGAGCCTGGGGGCGTCTCTGCAACACAACAGAACTGAATTTCCATTCACACCCTCCACATGGAAGCAGCAGAGTCTAAAGCAGTTCAGTTCACACAGGTCTCAACGATTTCCCCATCTTCTGTTTTCAGCGTGGTGGGGAAAAAAAAAAATCTGAAAGCATGTAGGGGATCCCAGGGAACAGGGAACAGCTATCCCTACCATGTGTGGTACATGAATGCATGGTGCTCTTCTACAGGCAAGACAAGGTCTCCATGGCCTATTGCCTGTTCAGAGAATCGGCTGCAGCTTATCTTTAACATTCCCAATCTGCAGAGTCCTAACTTGTGATACAGCCCAAGTCACTTTCATATCCAGTCACACTCCTTAGGAGGTGCACAACTCTGGGTATGATGAAGATATGGGGAGACACCTTTGGTTTCTAGTGAAACAGATGGGTAAGCTGCACTTTAATAGCTTAGAGAGGTCACTGTAGTGGCTAAGTTCAGAGCACATCCTGAGGCACCAAGAGAACAGCAAGGGCTCAAACAGGGACACTAGAGGCAGGTACAATAGAGACTCAGTTGCCTCCCACACAGGCAGTCTGGAAATGGAGGCTCCAAAGCTCTGAATATCTTTCCTATACAGATGGGCTTTGGGGGACCTGATGTCCAGATGTCAAAATATTTGGGGAAAAAAGGGCTGAGGTGGGACCCTCAACTATCGGGTCCAGAGCTCAATCCCCAGCACTGTAGGAAAACAAAACACACCAAAGAGAGCAAATACTTAGGGAACTGGCAGGACAGTGATACAGGTTCAGAAAGAATCAGGAGAGGCATCTACCGGAACAACACAATGGTTGTTGTGTCTTACCTGTGCGCCCCTGGAGTAGGACCTGAAGATGGTGCAGAACCTGCCCTGGCCCGACGTATCCCTGAAACACAGAGAGGATCAACAGCACACCCACGAAGTCCCAGTTTGAGAGGCTCACTCCCATCCTCTTTCTCCCCCTCTTCTTTTTTCCTTTGAGACGGAGTCTCACTGTGTAGTTCTGACTGAAATTTGCTACATAGACCAGGCTGGCGTTGAACTCACAGGCATATATATATTTTTAATGTACATTGGTATTTTAACTGTATGTGTGAGGGTGTTGTATCCCCTGGAACAAGAGTTACAGACAGTTGTGAGCTGACATGTGAGTGCTGGGAATTGAACTGGGATCCTCTGGAAGAGCAGCCACGGCTGTTAACCACTGAGCCATCTCTCCAGCCCCTCAGAGACATCTTTACCTGCCTCTGCCTCCTCAGAACTGGTATTAAAGGCATGTGTACAGCTGGTTCCTTCTTAATTTTTAGTTTATGTGTATGAGCAACACATGCCTGATGCCCATGGGAGACCTGAAAAGGGCATTAGATCCACTGGACCTGGAACTGGAGATGCCTGTGAGCTGACAGACGATACTGGGAATTGAACCCAGGTCCTCACAAAGCAAGAGCTCTTATTAACTTCTGAGCATCTTTCTAGCCTGATGGAAATAGGTTTTTACGAGTAAAAATGGAGGAGGCTTTAAAACAAAACATCCTGGACTTTTTGTTTTGTATGGAGAAAAGTCCAGTTTGAACAGGGTCTATTTAAATGGTTACTGCAAATAAGGTACTTCTTCACTTGGCTTCCACACCCCCATTAGACTACCAACTCACCAGAGCTCCAGTTTGACACGCCGTCCATCCAGCAGGATGGTGGTAGTCTTATAGTCGATTCCTGTGAGGAAGCAGAGAGGTGAGAGTATCCATCAGTAACTGGCTTCACTGTGAGGTCCTCCTGCCCAAGTCTGTGTTTCAAAGCAGAAAAAGTACTTCCTCAAATCTCAAATGACCGCCGAGAAAACAGGAGCAGGAAGACGGTGCTCACTGCTCTCAGCCATGGCTCCCTCAGGGCACCAGCCTAGCTCATATTGTACACCAGTCATGGGCAAGGCAGAAGCCCAGGTTAGATGGGGCATCACATACACTCAGGCCACACCAGTCTCTCTAAAGGCTCTGGGCCCAGAATGCCTGGAGGAAAATGGTTGACTCCCACTGTGACGTGTCCTTCTTATAGATTCTGTAGTCAAACTCGCAAAGAATAAGGTGCTTCCTAATTCTTGCATTCATCACAGTTCTCAGGTACTGATGCAGCATCAAGAGAAAGGTTCTTCTTACTTACTTAGGTTTTTTTTTTTTTATGTTTATTTGTTTTGAAACAGAGTTTCTCTGCATAGCCTTGGCTGTCCTGGAACTCACTCTGTAGACCAGGCTGGCCTAGAACTCACAGAGATATATGTCTGCCTCTGCCTCCTGAGTGCTGGGATTAAAGGTATCCACCACTGCCTGGCTACCTAGGCTGGCTTTAAGCTCATGAAATCTGCAGAAGTACGTGAGGATGACAGATGAGTACTACCACACAGGACTAAAGCAATTTTTAAAATGCTGTTCCACTACAAAGCTCTCCAGAGACTTTATGCTCTGTTTATCTTGAAGGTTTGTTTGCTTTATGTTTTCACATTTTTATATATTAAAAAAAAGTCAGCACAACAGATGTTGGTGGTATCAGGCAGCACTCGGTAATTAGTTTATATGAATCACTGGAGCCTTATCAGTTCTACCTGTGGTGCTGAGGCCTTTCTGGTGTGTGTGGAGGAGGGCAATGGCCTTTCTATGTAGCTAAGGCTGGCCCTGAACAGTGACTCTCTTCTCTCATGCTCAGGAAACACCTTAAAGACATTCTTACTTTCCATATATAATACTTGTAAGCCAGGTGTGGTAATACCCATCTATAATCCTACCATTTGGGTGGCAGATGCTCTGGAACTCAAGGTCCTCTTTATCTGCACAGTAAATTCAAGGCTGCCTAATCTACAGAAAACCCTGTCTAAAATAGAACAAAACTTAGCCTTGTTCTAAGAGGACTCAGAAATGGGCATTTTACAATGCATAGGCCTCATTCTCACAGAATGTGTGTCCCTGTGCACATGCGCATCTGCACACCCAGCGCATCCTGGTGAGTATGTTGATGTCTGTGTGCCTGTGTCCCTGTGTGTCTGTACAAGAAGACAGCACAGCATCCTCTTCAGGCTCCTTCTGAGACATAATCTGCCTCATTAACCAGTAACTGCATCCAAACTTAGTTCTGATGCATTAGAGAGGACACAACAACAGAGTAAAAAAACTGTAACATACAGAATAGAAAAAATATTTGCTTATTAGGACCGAGAGTTCTATAAATAACTCCTTAAACTCAATAATAAAACAACTCAATTCAAAAATGGACAAATCCATATCCCAAAGACACAGATAGGAATGGTCAACATACACAAGAAATTGTGCTGTGCTACTGGCAGCCATCAGGAAGCAAAATCAGAACTCTGTGCTCACCACCGCATGCTGGATTAGATGGCTAGACTCAAAACAGACAGTGAGGTATAGAGACATCGGGACCTTTCTCTTCTGCCAGGTAGGAGAGCTATAAAATAATGATCGCACAAATGTACAAATATGTGGTGCTGCTGAGCTGTGTACTTAAGTATGGTTAAGACATGGTTTTTGAGACAGAGTTTCTCTCTCTCTCTCTCTTTTTTCCTAAACAGTACTGGAATTTGCTCTGTGGACCAGGCTGTCCTCAGAGATCCACCTGCTTTTGCCTCTCAAGGGCTGAGATTAAAGGTGTGTTCCACCACTGCCCAGGTGAGACAGGGTTTTCTATGATGTCTGGCTGCCCTAGAACTTGTTACGTAGCTGGCTTGAATTTGAAGCAATGCTCCTGCCTCTGACTCCTCTATTTCTATGATATAAGGTAAGAGTATTGCATGTACACCTGAAGGACTGACAGCTGGGCCAGGCAACAGTGCTCCTGTGCCCTCTCCCCACCTTTCCCTAAGCTTCTGTGATAGGAGCTCAATGCTGGCAACTGCAGCTTCCGAGAGAAGCTTGTGAGGTCACTATTGCAGTGATTTCGCTTTTATTTCATTAATTAATTTAATTAATCAAATTATCTATCTATCTATCTATCTATCTATCTATCTATCTATCTATCTATCTATCTATCTATCTATGTTGAGACAGAGTCTCATTATGTAGCTCTGGCTGGCCTGGAACTCACTATGTAGACCAGGTTGTCCCTGGACTAAAGAGATCTTTCATAGCGACCCACCTGGCTCTGCTTCCTGAGTGCTGGGATTCAAGGTGTGCACCACCATGCTTTGTGCTGATTTTTAATTGACCTCTTTAAGAACAGACCAGCAGGACCTGCAGCATAGCCTTGACTGTGATCTGGACTCACCAATCCTATCGCTGAGGAAGGCAACTGCCTGACTACCAAGCTACCCCTAGATGGTGCTGTGGCTCCAGGCTGCTGCAACAAAACAGTGGACGCCTGGGAAGAGCCTTCAAAGAGACCATAGTTGTCACCAACAGACCTGTCAGCAACATAAAGAACTATGCAGATGGGCCTGTCACTGTTCTCAGCTGGGCTCTGAGGTGCTCTCTGCCACTGACACAGATGACTGCGGGACACCGGCAAGCTCCCCTAGCCAGCACATCTGCCTTTCAGAATGAAACACATTTGCAGGAGCCCCAGCACCAGGAGGGCCTGGGAGCTTCTGACATGGAGATGGTTTGCAGCTCTGGGAACCAGGTCAAGCATCTCAAGGGAGGAGATGACCCAGGGGTGGGAGGGGCAAGGGCCTGCTCTCTAGCCAGTGGCCTGTTCACCCAGGAAATCTGGGATAGTCATCAGCTAGACAGTGAACTAGCCTCTCCCTCGTCAGGCTTTAAGCAGTCAGCACCTTTTCATGTGAAGGCAGAGCACACCAGTAAACATGTGATTAGCATTCACAAGGCCCTGGGTTCACTTCCTAGCACCCTGCCCCCGAAAACGGTGGGGGTTTATTTAAATTTTATTCAAAATAAATCAGTGAGCCGAGCATGGTGGCACACACCTTTAATCCCATACTTTGGAGGCAAAGACAGGCAGAGCCCTATGAGTTCATGATCAGCTTGGTCTACATAGTCCAGAACAACCAGGACTACATAGAGAGACCCTGTCTCAAACAAACAAACAAACAAACAAACAAACCAGTCAAACAAACAAATAAATAAAACAGAAATCAGCTATCAAGAACCAGTGTGATTATACATACTTGTAATCACAGCTTTCTGGAGGCTGAGGCAAGATTATGAGTTCAAAGGCAGCCTGGGCTACAGCATGAGTCCTCTCAAAATGAAAAGGAGTAGTCTAGCTGTGTGGTGCTACATGACTACCAGTGAATGGCATCACAGGAACCCACTGAGCTAGCCTTTCAGGTCTCTTGCCAGAAAGCACAGGTACTGGCTGGTGGACCTGCGGCTTGAGGTCACAGGTGTCGGTGGCAGGTAGCTTTGCATAAGTACCCTCTAGCGGCCCTCACTTTTTTTTTTTTCAAAGCTGGGAAAGTGAAAGCTGTTCTCCTCACCCAGGAAAACATCTCTTCCAACCTGGCTGAGCAACAGCTCAAGGCCATTCAAGAAATTAAGAGTCCCCGGAGCTTCCTGGCCAGCAGGACTGGGTGATTTTGAGTGAGTCGGGCCTCACTACCCACACTGCTCATCACACAGCTCTACGGGGATCTACATCAAGCACCCACAGAGAGAGAGAAAAGTCCAGTAGGAGAAATGGATGCTCGGGGGTCTAATGACAGTCCACATTAACGTGTTATGCCAAGATTACCAGGGAAGGAGCCCTTGGCTTGGTAGGGTTCTAAAAGGAGCAATTATCCAAGGCTTGAGGGTAAGTAGGCCCTGAGAAGGAGGGGGCACAGAGGTGGAGGAGTGTGGTGGAAGAGGCAGAGCAGTGACCTGGAAGGGGGCCTGAACCAGGCACAAGAGAGACAGCAGGCGTGTGGGCACAGGCTGGCAGAGCCAGCGGCAAGCTGGAGTCTGAACATCACTGTAAGGGATTGGTGGGTGTCAGCAGGCTGCTTCTCTACTCTAGCACTCTTTCAGCACCATTCACTTTCCCCTTCTGTCTCAAAACAGTTTTCTTTTTAATCAGCTAAGACAAGCCCCCGAAGAGGACCAGCTGTCCCCTTCAGGCCCCAGATCATCTGTGCTAAGCTTCTCTAAGCAAAGAGGTCTGCTGCCCAGCCACTATCCCTGAAGATGAAAGCCTCACCAACCAGCTTGGCTCTGTCCTCACAGCCCTTTTGTTCATCTGAACCCAGCAAGCGTTGACCCCCACCACCACACCTCCTCCGATCTGAGTAGTTTTTAATCTTATGAGATACACACCAAACAGGGAAGCTGAAGCAAGCAGGTTGTAACACTTGTTCCACTTATGAGAAGGAAAGCATTGGCCAGGGTACTGGCTCAGTCTACAAGTCAGGGCCCTTTGTTCCAGTTTATATGAGACCAGATCTCACAAAGGTACCCTTGACCTCTGACCAGCACCTGGCAATGGCCAACCTTTTCCTCTGGCTGCTCTCAGGATGTCTTGTCTGCTTAGGGATCTCTGTGGCCGCCATCTTTGGTGCTGGGTGCTGCCCTTCCATCTATTCGCCTTGCTCCATGTGCACAGATCCTGTCCTTCCTGACCCATGCTGGCCAGACTGACTGCTAAGGTAACGTCCAAGTTTCTCCTCTTTCCCCATCAGTCTTGCTTTTCTGTTCTATCTTCTGGGAGATTTCCTTATTTTTTGCTTTCCAGCCTTTTCTACACATCAATTTCCATTGATCTGTAGTTTCTAGAAC